GTAATATCGAATGTTCTTAATATACTCAAAAAGATATTATAGTTATAAGGTATTATTTGATTGGTTACTAGATGGCCGTGTGATTGTATAATGAATTGTAAATAATATAACACTTTGTCTTAAAAGAATTGCAAAAGCAGAATATAATTTATCCTTAGAATCTATAACTACAGAATTGGAAGCAAAATGCTTATAGAGCGTTTCTATATACTAGCTATGTATACATAATTGTGTATATACGCAAATACGCACATAAGCGATCGCAGCTGCGATTGGGTGCGATCCGTGACACTGATTTAGTTTAGAAATTTAAGCAGGCTGGATATTTTATTGTTGTTATAAAACAGATAGATAGAAAGTTAATGTAATTATGACTATTAATATTCTCTTTCGAAAGCTTTGAGTAATAGAAAAAGATAATAGATAGCTATTATTATAAGACTCTATAGTAGGTATTAAATAGATTAAACTTTATACGAAATTAATAGATAAATTTATTTAATAAATTTCGATATCTCACATACGAAGTAGAAAGTAATTTGAGAATAAGATATAATTTATTTTTTAAAAATAATATTTACTTTATATAATTATTTTATAAATTTTATTAAACTTAAGTATCTTAGTTATTATTCATTATCTTATAAATTTATATTCTATATCAAAACCGAGTTAATTTATATAGGTATATTAATATCTTTTAGTTATTTCGCTGTATATCGATTATTGTATGCTAATCGTTGAGGTTAAAAGTAAAATATTTGTTTATAATAGAGTAGTTTAGTATGTATTAAGCTGGGGCTTAATTAGGAAAGAATGATTATTCAAGCGAAGCTGGAGAGTAGAAAGAGAGGGGAGGGGCTTCGATGGATTGTTAGTAAGAAGAATAGTAGAGAGTAAAGAGTAAAGAGTAGCTATGAGATATTAGATATACTTGGGAAAAGATAAATCTACTTTGTAAACTCTTTGAACCGGGCTAATGTTATAATAGTCGGCCCTTCAAGCAGCCCACTATTATCTATCTACCTTTTCAGCGAAATTATCTAGAATACCATACTTGTACGATACGTATATTGTGTAGTAATGAGTAATTGCGGGGTAGTCTATGATAGCCCTACGCCAACCTAACCGTGACGTTTCGAGTCCACTTCTTCCTCCTATCCTGACGAATATACCGGTATATGATCCGGGTTCCGCGTTTCGAGTTTCGAGTTTCGAATCCACTTCTTTGCGGGAAATATCATTCCGAGTTTCCGATCCTGGAGATGGAGATGGATAGATAGATGCTTTTGGGTTGTGGGAATGGGCATGGGAATGGGAGGTTTAAAGAGGGGGATTGGGGATGTGTACGATGTATATGATGTACGATGTATAGGTAGGTGTGTTGTACGGACATGTAATACAGGAAAAGAGCGAATTTATGGATCTTTGGGATTGGGGATTTGGGGATTTATTGGAATTAAGGTACTGATTGAGTGAAAGGTGATTTATCTTTTTATGAAACCTCGTAAATGCTTTTTGAAACTTGAGAGGCTTCTTCTTCTTCTTCTTCTGGAGGAGGAGGAGGAGGAGGTATGATGTACTGAGTGATGATAACGAGGATTGAAGATTAGAATCTGAAGGAGAAGGAGGAGGGGGATAAATTGTCTGGGTAAATATAGTAAGTTAGGTAGTTTGTTTCTTTGTGTAAAAGAACGATTTGAAGTTATTTTCATAAAGTAGGTAGGGTAGGTAATTAACTATCTATCTAATACGATAGTCAATAATACTAGATATGCAAGACTATATAATCCCGAAACCTTAAAATATAAGTATATCCTCTCTCAAAAAGAGCTTTGAAGGATACCTATGGATAAGTTATTTTTCGGGATAAAAATTACGGACTCAAAAATATACCTAGGATCCCGAGGTCCTTAAGAGCTGGTGGAAGTTGTGCGGTACTCATCTCGTATGACGTTTATTCGTGCATTAAAGCCGATGTGGACGCCGTTGTGGATTGGTTTGTTGATCCCGTAGAACCCTTGGTGGGTTTGATGCGGGGTAGGAGAGTCGGGAGGGTAGCTCGGGTAGGTAGCTCCGAAGTGCGAGCTCGTGGGTATGTAAGATATTTGGGATTATCGGATGTTGACTTTCTCTTTCTTCTGTAATTAATATCGATTCGATTGCCTGAAATTAGATTACCTGGTGATAAGTATCGAACTTTTTATCCTACGGCTTTATCGTTTCGTGCTTGGAACTTATCTGATATACTTCCATCCCATCTCAATCAAACAACTCCATCACATCCCTCAAATCTCATCCCACCACATCAAATCACATCACCATGTCTCCCCAACCCTTCCAAATCTCCGTCCCCCAAGCCAAAATCGACACACTCAAAACTAAGCTTTCACTCGCTGAATTCCCCGACGAACTCGACAATGCAGAGTGGGATATGGGTGCTCCGTTGTCCGACGTAAAGCGGCTGGCGAAAGCGTGGGAGCAATGGGATTGGAGAGTTGCGGAGGAAAAACTTAATAAGAAGTTGGAGGGAGCGCAATTTACAACGGGCGTCGAGGTCGATGGCTTCGGCGAGTTGGATGTGCATTTTGTATGGCAGAAGAGTGAGGTGAAGGGGGCGGTGCCGTTGCTCTTTGTGCATGGATGTGCGTGATTCTTTTCTTCTTTTCTTTTTGTTAGGTGAGCGGGGACGAGGATTGGTGAAGATTGTTTCGAAGGGAGAAGGGAGAAGAAATGAGTGAATGCTAATGTGAATGCATCAACAGGGCCAGGATCATTCTTGGAAGTTGTCCAACTTCTTCCACTTCTTCAACAACCCGGAGGTCCAGCATTTCATATTGTTGCCCCTTCACTTCCCAATTATGGATTTAGCGGAGGAGTCAAGAAACGTGGATTCGCAATAGCTCAGTATGCGGAAACTTGTCACAAATTGATGTTGCAATTGGGTTATGATGAGTATGTTACGCAGGGTGGTGATTGGGGTATGTTCGTTACGAGAGCTATTGGGAAATTGTATCCTAAACATGTAAGTTTTATGTCTTGGATTCTGGGTATATTCGTCATGTCTATAAAGATATTAACATCACACAGTGCAAAGCAAGCCATATCAACATGATCCTAGGGAAAGCTCCCACCGACCAAGAGGCATCCCCTTCCTATTCACAAGCCGAGCTGGAGGGACTCGCTCGAACCAAATGGTTCGAAGAGGAAGGCCGCGGATACTTTGCGGAACAATCCACCAAGCCGCAAACACTCGCCTACGCACTGCACGATTCTCCTGTCGCATTACTCGCGTGGATTTACGAAAAACTCCACGATTGGACGGATGCGTATCCGTGGACCGACGATCAAATCTTCACCTGGATATCTATCTATCAATTTTCGCGCGCGGGCCCCGGAGCCGCTCATAGGATTTACTATGAAGTCATGCATACGCAGCCTGGGGAAGGAAAACTGACGATGGCTGATTCGAGTATTTACATTGGGGGGGTGAAATTGGGATTGACGTTTAATCCGAGGGAGTTGGTGGTGTTGCCGAAGGCGTGGGGGAGAAAGTTGGGGGATGTGGTTTTTGAGAGTGATAACTTGAAAGAGGGAGGAGGACACTTCTATGCGCATGAGAAGCCGGAGTTGTTGGCGAGGGATTTGAGGGCTATGTTTGGGAAGGGGGGTGGAGCGTTTGGGGTGGTGAAGGGGAAGAATGGGTATGATGGGGTTTGAGGGGGAAATGAGAATGAGAATGATAGATTGTTGATTGGTGAGTATATCATATATAGCCTGGGAATAATGACAATCACATTACAGTGCAGAGCGATGTTTCAATATAAATCCCAATGAATTACTACTGATATTATTGACCAGTGTAAAAATACAAGTCTAGATTCATTCCTATTCACTGATGAACATTAACCATCTCTATTGAATCATTGAATCCCCATATCTTATATCTCATATCTCATCTCACACCTTCCAGCTCCTCTTTAATACCTAGGTAAGTTCTAACCAAATTTTCCTACTGAATCTAATCTCAATACATTATACTTTGAACTTTATATTTAATACTATATCTTTCTACTTCTTATCGCTAACTAGCTCTTTTTATAAATCTCAATATCTTATATCTTGTTTCTTATACTTCACACCTCCCTTACCAAACGCTAAATAATCACATATCTCTCATCACATATCTCACACCTTCCTACCCCTCCTTACCGACTACCTACCCTCTTCTCTCCCAGTAATCTCTAGATCTTCAAGAAGTGGATGGATGGATGGATGGATAGAAAAGATAAGATGAGAGGGTTTTATTTTGTAATGAATTAGGAGAGGAAGGGAAGGGAAGGCAAGGGAGGGAGGAATAGGAGATGAGAGGAGATGAGGGAGTGGTATAGAGTGCAATATATGTAAACTTTGTTTATTAGTTTATCTGTTTATCTGTATATCAAGATGTCGATGTCGATTTTGAATTGCGGAGTTAGAGACTTGGGAGTGAATGTTGGACTGATTATTGTTTGATATTTGACATTGTAATATATATGAACTTGCAATATAAAGAGAATGGTGCAAAGTCTTGAGTATATTTGAAAAGGCTTAGAATATTGGAATCGATGAATGGGTAGGTAGACGATGAGGTATAGGGGATATTGTTTGGAAACGAGAAGAGGGGGGCAAGGGGATTGAATTGAGAATTGAGATTGAGATGTTGATAATGAGAAGTTGAGTTTATAGGTAGGTTTGTATGTATGAATGAATGTATAATGAGTTGGTTGCATTGATATTGATTTGATAGATAAACTTCTTGTACGATGTTTTGAAACCGGAAGGGCAGGAAAGAAATTGATACCCGGTGGTTTGGTTCAACATGGAGTAGAGTAGGTAAGCATAATATGCAATTCCCCATTCTAATAAGTTGCCAATACATATATTCTCAACAACGGAATTCGGAGTGAGATGTGATGTGTCTCGCCGATTGATGGATGCCGGATGACAAAGATGCTTAGATACATGGCACGAAGGTCGGGGCGCGGAGGAGATCAATGTCCGAGGTCTACGATTTTCCTTCTCCACATTCATAGTTTAGAGTTCGGAAGGTCTGTGTTTCGATGGAGACAGAAGGACTTTACGATCTTTTGATTTCTAATACGCTTGCTTGGGTGGATGTGGATGTGGATGCGGTGTGGTTTGGGGTTGTTTATATTGTGAGGGGACTTGCTGTTTTTTGTTGAGGAAAGCAAGAAGAGGAAAGTACAGTTTCTCTAATCAATTCGTTCGATTTGCCTTTTTTGAAGAGGATTTATACACCTACAACTCGATTTCTATAATTCGATACATTTCCCAAACGAAACAACACATCTCAAAAGATCCCAATCAATCCAGAAAAATGGTTACCATCACTCTCGATGCCGATTACGGGTATGTACACAATTTCCCCTTCCTGTACCCCCCACCTCCATTCTCCCATCCCACTAACACCTCCCTCCCAGCTACGTAATCCTCGCCGCAACCTCCACCTTCGTCCTTAACTTCTGGCACGGCATCAACACCGGTTCCTACCGCAAAGCCGCCAAAGTCGACTATCCAGCTGCCTATGCCCCCTCCTCCCGTACCGACACCGCAGCACATCAATTCAACTGCGCGCAGCGCGCACATGCGAATTTCACAGAGAATCACTCGGTAGCGGTTGCGGCGATGTTGGTTGCTGGATTGGAGTTTCCAAGGTCGGCGGCCGTGTTGGGGGGTGCGTGGACGATTAGCAGGTGGGTTTATATGAGGGGGTATAGTCAGGGAGGTGTGGGTGGAAAGGGAAGGTATAAGGGTATTTGGTTTTGGTTGTTCCAGATGGGCTTGATGGGTTTGTGTGGATTTATGGGGGGGAAAATGGTGCTTGAGGGGAAGTTGTAGGGTGTGAGAGTTAGAAGGGGAAATGGAGAAGAGAGGAAAGGGGTATAGATGAATTGGTTGTGGAGAGTTTGAGAGGAAGAGAAGCAGGAAGGTCTGCATTCAAACGGTCTCGCACTTCCCAGTCAATTTGATAGACAACCCTTTTCTTAACTCCCTGGAATAATCCATCTCCTAATTGAAAATCGCATTAAAGCTAATGCTCTTACTACCTACCTACCCACCTAAACAAAATACAAATTCCATAACTACACATCCACACTACCAAGTATCTAGTGATCCGCAATATCGAATACTAACACTCCCCTTGAGTCCACTTTCAGAACACGACTACGATATGTGAGCGTGAGATATATCGCATCATTGAGTTTTCATTAAAATACATTACACATCGAATAAATCAACATGGCACAGATATATAGCCAGTCGTATCTGTATTTCCTCGTATATTGTAGCCAATATGAAAACACTACATACCTATACCTTTCCTATACCTATACCTATACCTATACCTATATCTATACCTATACCTATACCTATATTTATACCTATATTTATACCTATATCTTTCCTATACCTTTCCTATACCTTTCCTATACCTTTCCTATACTTTTCCTATACCTTTCCTATACCTATAAATGGAAGATGGAGAATGGAGAATTGGAAGGATAGGTGGGGAAGGTTGATTGTTAGATTGAGATTTGATAGCTTTAGTTGGTATGTATTATGTGGTTGTTTGAGAGGTGTGAGAGGTGTGAGAGGTGTGAGAGGTGTGAGAGGTGTGAGAAGTTTGATTGTGAGATTGGGGGAGGAGGGAGAGGGAGAGGGAGAGGGAGAGGGAGATGGGGAGAAGTGATGGTATTGGACTTTTCATGAAATGTACCTGATGCTACTTGAAAGATTTTGTTCGACGGAAAGATAGAGGAGTGGAGGGGATACAGAGTGAAGTAGATTGAGGAAGAGAGAATTTCAAGGGGATTCAGAGGAGATTCGGAGAGAGTGATATTAAACATGTCTATTTATACTCAGTACGTCTTACAATGATATTATTCAAGAATCCTTTCCCCTCACATCTAAACCATACATCATTTCACTTTTCTAGCCTCTACAATATCAACATCTACGTATCTTCCCCTTTATCTTGATTCGAGATTCCTACAACCCGACCAACCCCCTAATAATCTCTACTACCGGCGGCACAGAAGTCAACGCCAGAGTCACAATCCCAAAAAGACTCATACTCAAACTGCTTAAAGCTGCAGCTCTCGGATCACTAACTAATAATAATGCAGTAGCTATTGCGCTTGCATTTCCACCCATGGCGACTCCGATGGTTATGTAATCATCAGGGCGGATTTTGAGGAAAGTAAGAAGACGTTGACCGATAAGAACACCAAGGATACCGGACATGATGGCAAGAGCGGCAGCTGCGTTGGCATTCCCGCCGCTTGAGAGAGGAAGAGGTTAGTTTGTTATTCGGTGGATTTCGAAGCTTGGAAAAGAATGCAATGTACTTACAGGTTGGTAGCGGCAGGGGTAGCGAGGGCGAGAGTTAAAGAACGCACAGAGAATGAAAGAGAGATTGGAGGGGATATGCCGAGAGAGTAGCAGAGAGGGGGATAACCGAATAGTGAAGCAATAGCGAGAACAACACTGGGGATTGTGATGGGAATGAAGTGTAATTTTAATTCGTGGCGGTATTGAAACATGGGGAGAGCGAGGGAGACGATGGAGGCGTCGAGAACGCTATTACTGTAGTGATGAAGGTGGTCAGCTGAGATTCCCGGATTTCGTGGGAATCAAAGAATTGTTGCGAGATGGGAGTACTCACAAGATATCACCAGCACCGGGTAGAGGGAGATTTCTTTCTCCATCCCAGTAGGCGATGTATTTGGTATTGGTTTTGTAATCTCCTAAAATTTCATCTAGATTGTTGCCTTTAACAAGTCCCAAGATCCATATACCAAGGATAGTGATGCCAGATGATAGTAAAACAGGGTGTAAAAATTGCTTCCAACGGACTGGGAGGGATTGTGCTGCAAAGTAAGCTAGGACGTTAAAAGTAAGTTGTACTGGCATTGCATAGCCGGTAGCATAGTAAACTGGAATTCCTATGAAAAGGAACATGACGGTATATGTGAGTAAATCTAAGTTCCTGTTAATGAATGCCGCCCATATTTGAGCTCGTGTGAGTGGTAATGGCTCTTGTTGAACTTGAGTGGTACTAGAGATAGTCTCTGGGGGTGGGCTCTCTGTCTCGGGTGACTCTCGTGGATCTCTAGCACCTCTAACCACAGCCGACGCTTGTTCTTGTATAGGACTAATTGTATCGGTTGACGTGAAGTTGGTATTACTCGACACTGCGAGAGGAATAGCATCATTCTCGGCGCCCATTTCCTCTGCCCTTTCAGTGATAGCACGCTTGGTAGAGCCTACTAAAACTTGCAGACCGCGAACCAGCCATGCTGTGACAGCGAACATAACCAAGAACCCAACAACTTGAAACAATCAGTGATAGAAAGCTGAATACAGCGTCATTGTACTCACGGAATAATCCTATAATCTTACCTACTTCTGTAGCAGTTATACTATCACTCAAGGGCAATAGGACGAAACTATCAACCTTTAACATCTGATCTCGTTTATGTAAAGATGATGACTCACGAGGGCGTGAAAAAAAGATTGATATATCGAAGAGCCCATCCAGCTGGAATATCAATAATTGAGACCAAAGCTCTCGTTCTTTGGTGACCAATAACCAGATCAATAAGATTCAAAATAAGGAATAGCAAAATCAAGCATGCCACGGATGCAGGAAATGAGACTGAACTGAGTCCTATAAGAGCATTGATACCGAAGCATGCTAGTAGAATCAAAAACAATGCCAAAAGGGACTTGAATCCAAGCTTTCACATTGCGTCTCCATGATAGTTGAGCTACCTATATTATGTCAACAAAAGGTCTTCTAAAAAGCTTAGAGACATCAACACTCACCAATTTGAGAGCCTCGAATCCATCAGAGATAAATTCTGAGATCTTCGGAGTCATTGTGAATGCCTTCAGATGGCTTTTCAACTTATGTCAATGGAATTGACTCTTCTCATTTCCTATATACCGAGAGTATACAAGAGGGCAAAGTTAAACATAAAAAAGAGAACGAAATTTCTTATGTTATCTAGGTACCTAGGTAGATAATGTCTTCATCACGACTGTCATAACCGAGTGGGAACCCGGAGAGCTCAATCAAAGCTTATCTCCCACAATCATGACCTATATCGGAGGAAAATGTATCCTCATGCCTGCCAACCTCATATCTTTGACAGATTGTGAGAAATACGATGATTTCTTCAATTCTTTACATATTTTGACTCCTCGCTCAAGAAAGGTGAAAAGACTTCCAAACATTGGATCCTAGTGCATGTAGGGTTTTGCAATGAGACAAATCAGAAAGTAAGTTGTTGTCCGACATCAAATTTGTGGGGTAAATATAAACCTCCAGCATTCACTGGCGATGCATTGTAAACAAACGAATATCACAAATTCAGCACAAAATTGATAATACGCCCCGAGCCCGTGTTCTATTCCTTCTCTTTCAGAACTTGCTGGTCAATGTTTTCTAGGATCCTAAAATCTTCATCTTTCTAAATCTGCATCAAAATCTTTACATTCTCCCAAAGTCCATAGCTAAATCTAGCCTCAGACGTGCATCAAAACTTTCGAAAGGTTGTGGCACCACGAACTTCAACCATTATGCAAGGCGGCAACCTTGAACTTCTTTTACAGATCCTAGAAGATTATGGCATACCTTTTGATCGTAATGCAATCAAATCCGATTATGCTCGTAGTCCAGCTGCGGTTGAAGCCTGGATTTCAAAATACCTTGGTCCAGAAACACTGTTGACCAAGGATGAAGTTGCACTGTGAGTTGGAGCCCATATATTCTGCGAATGATGCTAATATAAGATAGATACGGGGTACTGTCACAATCAGGGGATGCAGATAAAGTAGCAAATTTACAAAAGTCATCGAGCATATCCGATCTGAGTGATGAACAACTCCATACCGCTATCGAGGAATTACAACGATCTACTACCGCGATTGAAAAACAAAGTGAAGCACTCCGATCACAACAAAACGCCCTGGCTTTAATTGTCAAGAACAGTAAGAAGGTGGGAGTAGCTCGAACAGAAGCAGATGCAAAACAGCTACGGAAATGGGAAGCAGAAAATGGTCAGGTCTCCTCAGCAGTGGAGGAACTGTCTCAAAATTTGATGTATCAGCTCTCGGACTTGGAGCAACAAAACAAAATATCACAATCCGATGCCAAACAGACAGTGGACGAGATTTTCAAGGCGGATGATAGACTATTGACAAGTTTACAAAAGCTTGCGGAAGAGCTTGATCCTGGATCTTCAGAAGATCATGATACTATTTCAAGAATACGGGATCTTTGTGCGAGGTACATTAAACATACTGTCGATGGAGTTAGGACAAAGCTTGACCGAATATACCTCGAGGCTCTTAATGGTACTTCTGGTGCAGATCCCCTGAGTGGAAACAAGCAGGAAGTCGCCGAATTACAAGAAGAGCTCGAATCATTATATTCCGAGGTATTACCCGTGGCTCAAATGTCTGCCGAACAGCAATATTTGGAACCAGCATTACGGGAAATCGCTGCTAAAGGAGATTCGGGTCAAGATCGAGCTTACCAAGCTTTGAAATACGTAGGTTTCTTTACATTGACAAATAGACACAGATCTCTAACCAATCCATTAGATGCAAGAATGCCTTAGTTTTCTCGTCAAGCGTACAGAGATATATGCAGAACATATTGAAGAATACCAGTGTCATCAGATGGCCACTAGATTTGCAATAGACACCGGAAAGAAAGAGCTTCAACATCAAGCAGCTTCACAGTCTAGCAAATCCATCACACGTCAACGACAAAACTCTCAGGTACAAGCACAATCCCGTAGTAATCGCCGACGTTCTTCAATGTTTGAAGAGATGGACGCCGAACAACAATTACTTCGCAATTTAGGCATCACACTGCCAAATGAAAGCGATACTGATGACGCGCGGACTGAATTTCTGGAGAAATCTCTTCAAGAAAGGACAGAGAAACTCAAGAGTCACATGGCCAATCTGGAGTTAACAACTGAAACCACCATATCTTCACATGTGCATAATGCCGATGCCACAATGAAACTTCTTTACAATGCCCTTCAAGCTGATTCAGTATACGGGGAGGTTCAACTACTTGATCCAGATATTGTATCGTCATTTAATACATTTGAGGAGGAAATCAAGAATTTACAGGAAAATCTCGAGGCCGTAAATCTACAAAGGTTACAACTAAAGAATGTTCATAAAGAGCAGCTGATAAAACGTTGGTCAAGGTGACAGTTTGTCTGAGCGAGAAAGAGGGAAACAATAGAGGGTGTTCCCTTGCAAAGTGGATTAAAAGTCGATATTGGAGGAGATACTCTTTAATATATCAATCACAATTGAAGACTTCTTAAAGACATTACTCTTAGGTTTCAGATGATAGTGGCAGATGTCACCATCATCACGTGTTTCGATATTGGAGGGGTGATATCATATATCTTACGATTCAAGCTTGTGGTGGCCATGCAAAAAATTGATCCCGAAATGCAAGGGCAAGCACCACACGTGGCTTACTATATAGGCTTCTTACATGCATGCATGAGGGAGCCTCATCCCAAAATCATCTTTCCTTATTGAAAAAATTTATCATCTTGGCCACTCAAGTCTATCTAAGACAGCAATCGAGTCATATATCCGCAGTCATGCACGAGACCAACCAAGATCCTGTAGCCGAGATAATCAAGTATTCATAGCCTTTCAATCATCAAGGGTACCTGCGTGACACCATCCCTCTGAAATAAATGGTATGCATGCAATCCTTCATCCTTAACCATCTTGTTGGAATTTTTTAAAAAATTTTCCCCCTCTTTCCCCTGGCGGCTGTGGTGTGGAAAGAAATTGTATGACAACTAATAAGCTTTAGACCCTTATCGCTAGGATTGTGGAATATACATAGGTATGGCTTATTGGGAGTTTAGGGTTGGATGTTAGGTTGAGGGGAGAGGGAATTATTAGAGAGGAAGTAATATTTTGAGATTTTGATTGAGATTTTGATGGTGGGTATGGTTAGTTGGTTGGTTGGTTGGTAATTTATTTGATACGTTGATATAATATAATATAATATAGCATAGTCGAGTAGGTATTGTATAGTAGGATGTAACAATATAATATTATAATATTGTAAGGCTTAGATGGTTTAATTATCTAGATAAGTATGTATGCATGTAGGAGGTTGTGAGGATTGTAAAGGAGGATGGATGTAATTGATGGATGATGGATGATGAATGAGGGATGGAAGCGCTAAGGAAGGGATTATGATTATAATTATGATTATAATCATAATGAGGATGAGGGGATATTTATTGAATATTTATTTATTTGATTGTTAGATTTTTGGGGGGGGGGGGGGGGGGGGGGTATGGTAATATTACTGTGAATGATGGGATTGTAGATATCTATCTAGATAGTATAGATTGTATATTCAACTTGAATTTATTTAGTAGGTAGTAATAGTAATATCTAGGTATCTACTCTATCTACCTAGTAATAGTAATAGTAATAGTGATCTGAGCAGGGAATATATGAGATATCTATGAATGGATTGGATTTAAGAATTATAGGTGTATGAATGTATGTATAATTTCGTCATGGATAGGATTGAGAGGTGGATGGGTTGTGGAGGGGTAGATGGTAGATGGGTTGTAGGGAGGGAAGGAAGCATAAGGGTAGTTGGATGTATAATATCGTCATTTGAGAGGCCGGGGGGGTACCTATCTAGCTGGAGCTGGAGGTACCTATGGATGCGATGATGAAGTGTGGCTGTGGATGTGACTGGCTGTGGCTGTGTGTGTGTGTGATGGATATGAATAATTATTGATTACTAGGTGAATAGCTGAGTAGGTAATAAATTATGAAAGTACGATATTGTTTAGATAGTTTTACGTTGGTGTTTGGGAATTGGATTTTGAGGATTTTATTCGCTGGGAGAATGAATGACTTGGGATTTTGTGAGTATAGTATCTTGAAATATCGTAAGTAAGATTACATGAGTAGCTGGAGGTAGATAGATTTAAAGATATATATACCTTGGAAATATTATATATAAACTTTCACAAATTCAGATAGAGGCCGACCTAGACTTCCAATGACGATTGTTTGATTCCCACGGAAATCATTTGATCATATGACTGGAGAGTCAATGCACGGATATGCTCAATATGTTAGTGCTAGATTGATAGTCGGTATGATGTGCATCATCGGGGTCTGATCGGATGGCCTTGCGGTGGGAGTCATCATTCTCAAGTATGATTTTATGGTGAAGATGAGTTATGTAGACAGGTAGGTAAGGGAGTTATCTGGTGGAATTGTGATAGAAGCTGGAGGCGCTAGGCAGTATCAATGAGTGAATCCTGTCGTTAGTATTGTTAGTCGTGCTCGCTTTGAAAGCGCTTACAGAAACCGTAGAATGAGCATGTATGTATGTATGCCACTTAACGTGCAGAGTAGGCTTATCTGGATCGTGAAACGTTATACCAACATCGGGGGGAATGTTGCGGCTCTCAATATGTTTTATTTTTTCCATCCTTGAATCAACAACACATCCAAGGTTAGGTACGTAGGTACGTAGGTACGTCTTCAATCAATCAATAAATATAAATAAGGATATTCCTCGATGAGGTGTAAGCGTGACCTTCAAAAGAGACCGAGTGAAAATCTCTCCATATAAAATTGTTACCAAATGAAGTAATCACCTTACCCAAAGCAGTAGATAGCAGGGTCGAGGAGAAACAATTGGCCATCCGACCTCTTCATGAACATCAACTCGAGTCTCCAACTTTTTCTTTTTCATCTCATTACATCTACAATCCCTTCATTGGATTCCACCCATCGAGCAGTGGTCATCTTCAAATCTTGTTTGGGGTCGGAAGAGAGGTCATTCTTTTATGAACGAACGCCTTCTCCTCGGTGGATTTCATTCTCATAGGATAGAATAAGAGCTACTCTAACCTCCTTTCAACACGCGCGTTGTGGTCTGCAGATTTGAGGGCCGTCCCGCGACATATTTACACGTTTACGACAGATACGACCTCGAAGACCTTGAGACTCGGCTTACTCTTGACCCTCTTCTCCATGGGATTCGTTTCCATTTGATCGGGATTCTATTTTCGGACATTCGTACTTTTCGTCTTTTCCTCTCGTACAATCTCCTTTCACATGGTTCCGTGAGGTGCTCGAGTAATCCTGCGACATTTTCACAATAGCAACTGTCACATTCCAAGCAGTTGGATGTCAGGACATTCATCACAAACCAAGCTGACCACATACTCCATGCAGCATTTTTGTCTTTTTACTCCTGCATTTTTGATCTTTTCCGTCACCCATCATTATTAACTTTCATGGGTTCATTTTAAGCCTCGATTCCTAACTTGGTACTACTTTGAAAGTTGGTTGACCATCTGGGTTCGATTTGGGTCTTACTCAGCCCTTTGAGTGGCTGAGGCGCCTTTTTCATTCGCCGCTTTCTTACTGAGAAAGGAAACTTTCTTGGCATTTTTATAACATTTTTATAACATTTTCTTAACAATCCTACCTTTCCTACTATTCGTACCATACATAAACTCAACATGTTCATATTACACTAAAATCTTTGGAAAAAAGGCCATCTCCTCAATTCCCATTCCCCGGCGATACTTTCGACTATCGATTAATACTTGCATTTACAGAACCTTATTCCAAGATAGCAAAAAAGTGTAATGGAAAGTTGGTTGACTTTATTTTTTTCTTTTATATTCAATACCCACTCACTCACTCACTCACTCACTCACTCACTCACTCACTCACTCACTCACTCACCCACCCACCCACACCTTCTCTACTGAAATAAAAGTTTGGAACCAATCCACGCTAAATGCACAGTCACCGGCCACAAGTATTGACCTAAAGGATACTATAAGACCTTTTCATTAGGCAGTCACACTCCTGGTACAGTCAAATCTATTCAAGTGTTAAGAGGGAATACTTAATTCCTCTATACCCTCTATCCTATCTGCACGTTTCTCTCCACATTCTCTCTTTTGTTAAACATATCACTGCTTGTGTTTAACCTAATCCAACATCCTTCACATTCCTATCGCTTGATATACTTCACTCAACCTTTATACAACCATACTTGTTGTATCTTACAACACACATCTCTCTATATACCAACTCTTCTCTTCAGTCATACAATATAACACGAAACAACTTTCACACACACATACACACATACACACATACACACATACATCCATACATACCTATCACCTCGAGCGAATACATCTTACTCTTCAACTCAAAGAAGTCCTAGACCCAGTGGGAAACTTCTCATCGTTTTGATATCAACTCGATAATACAAGTCGAAGTCAATCAGGTCTTGGAGGACAAGTTTTACCTCAGCACATCCGAGCCGAAGTCTCAAAGTTCACCGTCACAATGTGCGTGACACACATCTATACCGACTGCTACCCCAAGCGAACAGTCGAGTTTCATCAAACAATAGTCTGCCCTAATGCAAAAGATGGGATCTCTTGTGCTGCTCCCATCACCAACGAACACCCTCCTCGCATTCTTGAATCCAACGATGAACTTTCCAGCAAAGAATACCTCGACCAAGGACTTAAAGTACCTCCTACCGCTAAGCCTTCACCTCATAAATCTACAACAACAAGTACATATCGTTACTCTCCAGGTGACAAGAAAGACAAATCGCCAGGTCGAGAACCTCGTCTTCGTCTTGTAAGAAAGAAAAGTGCTTTGGTCTCAGCCCTCACACCGCGTCGCAAACATCCTAAAGAACGTATCGTTATTGTCGATGCACCAGATAGTCCAGAAGGTTCCAAGGCTCTTCCAAAATATGCTCCAGATTCACCCGCCACGGAAGAATTCTACTCAAAGAATCTTTTACTAGATGATCGTTCAACTCCAAGACGTAGTCCTAATGGCAGTCTCAATCCTGTTCGTACGGTCATTGTAGAACATCATCGAGATCAGAGGGACCATAGCAAGGAAAGAGATAGGCCTTTGAAGGAACTTCCAATTATTCTAGCTCCCGAACCTCCTTCGCGTTCACCTAGTCGTGAGAAGGCATTGGTAGATATGCGTATTCGTCGTGAGGAAGAAGATAGGGAAAAAGAGAGACAAAAAGAATATGAGAGAGATAAACAGAATACTTTTGAGCTACTTCATAAAGCAAGGAGGGAACGAAAGAGGGAAGAAGAGAGGGAGAGAGAAGAAATGAGGAAAGCGGCAGAACTTGAGAGAAGGGAGGTCGAGTATCAGAAATTCTTGAGAGATCGAGAACTAGAGCAAGAAAGAGGTAGGGAAGAAGAACTTCTTCGAGAAAGGGAAAGAGCTCGATCTCCGATCGCAAAAGGGAAGAAGAATTAGCAAGAGAAAAGGAGGAAGAATTAGCAAGAGAAAGGGGAAGAAGAAGAAGAGATGATGAGCTTCGTAGAGCAGATGAGCATGAGCAAAAGAGAAGAGAAGATCAACATAGACGCGAGAGAGAAAGGAGTGAAGGCATTAAGATGATAAGAGATGGAAGAAAGAATGAGGAAGGCATAGATTGTCGGAAAGAAATGCAGCGGATGATGCAAGGAGGTTGGCGGAACAGGTTAAGGCATTTGCGAAGGAGGATGAAGAGATTAGGAGAAGACCCTCTGTACCTAGTAGAGGAAAGGAGGTGGGGATAGGAATCGATAGGAGAGATGATGCCGCGAGATTGAAAAAGGAGGATGATGATATGTATGCTAGGTTTGAGGGAGAGGCAGGCAAGGGATGATGGGTATGCATCGGGGTTTAGGAGAGGTGCAAGCTTTTCATGGAGGGTCGATGGAGATAGAGAGGTTTTGGATAGGTGAAGGAAAGGCAGAAGGGACCTGAGGTGGGTTATATGCCAAAGAGGAGGACTACTATTGGTGGGGGAAGTGGGAGAAGGAGGGGAGATGAAAGAATCATTTGGGATGATGGAGAAGGGGGGAGGGGAGGAAGATGGTGAGGAATGAGAGGGAATATTTTCTTTTGCCTTGTTTGATTCATGATTAATGCTTATGATGTTATGGGTATAGGTATGGGATGGGGGTGGGAAAGGCCGGATAGGATAGGATGATACCTGGTTGGATATGTACTGGATATGATATGCATATGGATGCAACGGATAATGATTTGCTGGACTTTTTAGCGGTTATGTGAAGATATGATAGATATCTTTGGATTATGGGGATACGATTATGATACCCGAGTAGCTAGCTGCTTAGCTAAATGAATCTCTTTTGTTCTTTGGTTGTTACCTATTCAAACTTGGAGTATTTGAAATTTTATTTGATATTTTATTTGGAAATGTAATGGGATGGGACAGGATTTTAATGTGTTTGAATATATAATATGAATATTAATTGATTTACTAGAGATTAATTTGTTAAATTGTTAACTTATTTATAACTCGGGTAGTGATGGATAGATAGAATAGATAGATAAATAAATAAATAAAATAATCAAGTAAAAGAAAAAAGGGAGGGAAATATAACGAAATTATTAATGCGAAACTAATAACTAATAATGGAATCTAAAATCCAAAAAATCGAAACACAAACTTCTAACTTCCTAAAAACGATGCAAACAACTTTTTCTACCTAGGTGTTTAAATACATATACATATAACCCACCCACCCACACGCACACACACACACCACACACACAAACTAAAATCATTCCTCCACACGCCCCAAAGCCTTCCTAATCCCCTCCACCTCACTCGCTATCCCCTCCACAAATCTTTCTATCTCCGCTTCATCCATAAGAACCGCATCGGCTTTGACCCCAAAATCTATACAATCATTTTCGCCCTCGCCCACATCCACAAACACATTTCGCGTCGCCAAATACCCCGTTTCGATTCGCTGCACGGCAGTCTCCCCTTTGATTTTTCGCTTCGGTGCGAAATCGGTGGGGACCCCGATGGGGAGGGGGATGAGGAGCTCGGGGGCTTGGTTTGTTGGGGTGGAAGAAGAAGGGGAAGGGGAAGGAGAATTTCTGCCCGGGGCATGGAATAACAAATTAAGACTTGCGTTGAACAACGGCTGTGGTTGTCCTTGCGACTCCTCCATCGCCCAAGTCACTACATCTCTCAGGGAACTTTGTTCCCACGCTACCCGCTGACTCATGTCTCTTTGAATTTCCAGCAGCAGATCAGTTTCCGCGCGTCCGGAGACGGGGATCGAGACGGGGAGGAGATTGACTGTGGGCGCGAGCACGGTTTCTGCGCCGTGGAAGGAACTCGCGCGGCCGACTTGGAAGAAGCCGAAGGTGGGGTGGGTGGTGTGGGTGAGGTGGGAGAGGGTGCGTGCAAATGCTAACATGAGGATGGTGTTGATGCTGGTGTTGTGGGTGCGCGCGAGAGTTTGGAGGGCGTGGAGATGGGGGATGGAGTTTTGGAGGAGGAGGAAGGTTTGGGTTGTGTTTTGGGATTGGTCTTGGTTTTGGTGGTGGGTTTCTTTGTTGTTTTCTGTCTCGGTAGATGGGGTGAGGACGGTGGGGTTGGGCGGAGCGGAGTGAGGATTTCCAGTAGGATTTTTGTGCGAGGAGGGAGGAGGGGGAGGAGAGCGAGGAATGCGTGTATTTAACGTAGGAGATGAAGTCGGGTGTGGGGGGTAAGATGGATGAGGGTTGGGTGTAGAGAGTACAAACTTCTTTGATGAGTGCGATCATGCTCCATGCGTCGTATAGAGAATGATGGATTCGGAATAATACGGCATCTGTTGTTGCGGTCTGCACTACACAGAGACTGATGGGGGGAGTGAAAAGTGTAGAGGGTCGTTGAGCCCAGTGGTGGACTTGACGTTGGACAGCTGAGATTAAATCTTCATCTGTTGGTTGAGCGGGTATAACAGTGAAAGTTCCATCGGTGATGACCTCCGGTTTCAGAACAATCTGATACGCAGATTCGGGTGTGGGAGCAGTAAACACCGTTCTCAAAATCGGATGTCGCAATTGCAGATCCCTCCACACAGTTCTCAAACGAACTGTATCAATCTTCTCGCGAGCCTGGAACGCCCAAGTGGGTTCGTAGAAAGTTCTTCCGCTTTTAAGCCAACTCGCCAAATGGTATTCTTGCCCCGCCATCGCCGGTAAAATTTCCTGCACGGTATCTTTGGGGTATTTGAGTAGCGAAAGTGTACTTGCTTTGGCTTCAGGGGATAGAAGCTCTGTCGTCGCATCTTGCGGTGGAGTATTGATCATTGATTTTGCGACGAGAATCCGGACGATCCCACCGAGAGAATTTCCTTGGAGGATATCAGCAACGCTGATTGATACATCGCGTCTGCGACAGATAGACGCGACACGGATTGCAGCAATGGAATCGACACCCAAGGAAAAGATACTCGTCTGCAGCGTCACGGAGTCCGTAGGTAAATTAGCCACCTCCGCCAGAGCTGCACGAACAACCTCCAGCATCGGCGCATCCGCCACATCACGATGATCTTCCACATTTTCAACCTTGCTCTGGGGTATACTCTCAAGCGGTAAATCTTGTAACTGCTTCGGATGAGCAACAACACTTCTCTGAGGATTCTCAAGAATATCTCTCAAAGCCTCATCAAAAGTTTTGCAAATCAGGTTCAGATCTTCGGTGTTGATGCGTCCAGCAGGAGATCCAGCACTAACAATTACCTCATCCTCTCCTTGTTCAATCTCAACATTCAACCCATACTCCGTCGCATCGCGACTCTCGCCCCCATCCATCACACTCCAGAGTTTTTCTTTCTGCCCATCTGTCTTTCCCACTTTCTGGAACACAAACAACGCATCCAACAACGGCGCATCCGTGAAAATATTTTTCCGTCTCCAAAGCTTCTGGATCGTAGACAAGGAAGCATGTTGATTTTCCTGTCCCTGAATAACCACATCTTGGATCTGACTCGCGTAATCCTGGTTTCCCAGTACCGGATTATCCAGCACAACTCGGAAAGGAACAGTGTTAAAGAGCGGACCGAGGATGTGTTCTACCTCTGGAAGAGGTAATGAACGACCCGAAACGACATGTCCGAATACGATATCACGACGCTTGACAAAACAGAAGAGGGTTTTGGCGTATGCGAGCAGAGCCGCGGATTGCAGATTGATATTCATTTCTTGGCAGCGGCGAAGGATTTCCAAAACGGGCATTTGGATGGTCGTCTGCGCCAGGGAGGTAGTATCTGCAGGAACTGTTGAAGACGGGAGGGCGATACTCTGGTACTTATCCAATCTGTGGAGCCAGAACTCGACGCTTTTACCTTGACGCTCTGTGATGAGTTTTGCGGCTTCGGAGAAAGGAGTTACAGGTTTCGAAATTACATGCGAGTAAGCTGATGACAAGGAATCGAAAATGAGAGGGAGGGAAAACCCATCATAGAGACTGTGATGAATCGACACGACGAGAACTTTCATAAACGACGAGTGGAGAATTGTGATTTTGAGAGGAGTCTGCGAGAAAGACTCGGGAGTGGGGAAACTGGTTGTTTCGATGATCTTTTCGATGCTTTGGTCGATCCATCCAGATGCTTGTTCTTCTATCCATTGAATGGCGGGGTTTGAGTGCACGGCGGCTAGCCATGGATGAGTCGCTCCTTCGAAATAGTGGAAGGTGGTGCGCAGGATATCATGCGCTTCGATTACCGATGTCCATGCTTTCTTTAGACGCGCGATATCGATATTTGGAGAGAGATTGACGGCAGGATGATGCAGATAGAGTTTTCCACCCGTGGCAACAGTTTGGGTCAAGATACCGGTTTGCAGAGGGGTAGAAGGATAGATATCAGTAATCTTATCATCTTCCGCCAACAGAGAAATACTCGCTTTATGTTGATCCAGCAAATTTGTCGTTTTGGCCACAGCAGGTTCAGCAGTCGATTGGGTTTTGCTCTTGCTCGAAACAGCGCGCGCTAAAGCTGCAATGCTGGGGTATCTCCCGATATCCGAAGATGAAACTGGGAGGCCGATGTTGCGGAGTTCCTTGGCGAAACGAATAGCAATGACGGAGTCGATGCCGAGACGGAAAAACGTGCTGGTGCGAGATACATCTTCGGATGCAAATCGCCGAGGCCAAGGTAAGACGGTCTTGATAGTTTGCTCTTCGGGTAATTCTTCGCCATCATCGAGGATTTCGGAGGATGATGAGATGCTGTGATTGGATTGGATACCGAGACTTTTGATGGAGATATTGTCATTTTTGGAGATGGTATCGATTAGTAACTCGATCATTTCGGGGAGATTGTCGATTTTAGACGCAGAGCCAAACTCTGGAGTGTATCCCGCGCGGATCACTAGATCATTTGATGAATGTCTGGCTTCGAATTCCACCGCGAAGGGATAATCAGGAGGCATGTAACTATCGAGTAATTTCCACAATCCATTCTCCGATTCTTCTTCTCCTGTTTTCATGAATGAAAAGAGACAGTTGAAGAGCGGACGATCGGCTTCCACCCATTTGTGAATAGATCTCGGCGAGCTATGTTGAAACTGCAGCATTTGACCTGAAGATTTCTGGAGCGCGGTCAAGATATCCAAAATCGTAGCGTCGCTCTTGCGGAGATCAATTCGTTGTGGCACAGTCGTAATGGTTGGAGCAAGAAGTTTCTCGATATTGGGAATAGGAACTGTACGTCCGGAAAGCACAAGACCAAATACGAAATCATCAATCGAAAGTAATTTTGCCATTGCAAGACCAAAGATAGCTTGTGTTAATGAAGGAAGAGTGACGTGCAATTTGGAAGCAAAAGCTTCGAGGGCGCTCAAATTGGTCTTTAAAATGCGTGTGGATACTTGAGCTTCGGTTTTTTCTTCTTCGTTAATGGCTTCATTGAGAAGGGGTGGAGGGCTGTAATCTCCCAATTTATTGACCCAGAACTTCTTCGCGGCAAGCTCGTCTTGCGAAGCGACGTATTCCACTAGTGCGCCTGCAGAAGGTCGCTCAGGGGTTGGGATATCTTGATACCGCATTAGAATATCTTGCATCAGGACTGCCAGGGACTCGGCATCGTAGAGGGCGTGATGCATGGACATCAAAAGGATGGATTTTGAACTTCCTTCTGTGAAGATGTTGAGTCGAATGGGTGGTGTGTTTTCGATATTTTGCATGATATCTAGAGAAATTGCTTCTTGCATCTTGTCCGGAGTGCAATGTTTGCTGAATTTAGAGTAGATGTGTTCTGCCCATGGCATATCGAAGGACTCATTCTTGAGTACAGCTTGCAAGATATCATCGTTGATTTGGCAGAAAACAAGTCCTCAAAATTTCGTTGACGGTTGCACAGGCTTTCCAAGCCTGGGAGAGTTTCGAAATATCGATGACGGAAGATAACTCAAATGTAATATGATTAACATATAGAGCACCGGCTTCCTTGTTCAATGATCGAGCTACAACAGCTTCTTGGACGGGTAAACAAGGTCGGACGGTTTCAACGTTCATCCCGAAATTTTTACCTAAAGGACTCTCCCGGAAGGCAGCTTCGATACGAGCAATTTTCTTCAGAGCATTTTCTCTGTTTCTAGCGGCCTGTTCGGGTGTAGTATCTGCACGTGGTAATAATGCTAATTCTTCCACCGTGCTGATGCTAAGAACATCGGCAACACTACATGTGTATCCAGCCTTTCTCATCAGGGTCGAAAGACTGATGGCTACCAAACTATCGACCCCAACCTCGAAGATGTTGGTCGAGGGAGTGAGTTCTGCAGAGGTAGCTGGAACCAAACTTTTAAGTATCTCAACCACAGCAAGTTCTTGTTCGTCCAATTCGCGTACCGTAACAGTTCTGTTACCAGTCGATTGTCCTTTCTCAGCAGATAACAAGTGACTTAGCGGTATGGAAGCAAAGAGAGCTTTGAGTTGCTTCACATCTGCCTTTCCAGACATGGGAGCAAGAGGCAAGAAGCTGATTGGGATAACCACATCCGGAACCATGTATCCTGGAAGTCTTTCTCTACAGCCAGCCCGAATACTGACGTTGATTTGCTCGAAGTATCTAACATCTCAACCTTCTCATCAATTCCCGCAGCCTTAGCATTGCTCGCAACGAATGAAATCAATTGCATTCTGGAAAGCTCTGGATGTTTCGTAATAAGAGAAGATACGTTACTTCCAGCTGGTAGCAACGCGCGTACTGCTTCGGAAACCTCACCCAATTCAAGACGCTGACCACGAATCTTAGTTTGATCATCTGAGCGGCCGAAAATCTCAATCGTATCGTCGGGCATTAATCTGACAAGATCTCCTGTACGATACATTTTGCCGCCGTGGAAATTCTCGACAAAAGCGCCAGTATCACGGTTGTGATAACCAATACCGACAAGACTTCCTGTTAGACAAAGTTCACCCTCTACTCCTCGCTTGGCGTAAGTGAGAGCACCAGGAATGAGTACATGGGCAACAGTGTCTCCTAGAGGATGACCCACATTTCTCATATTGACCTTTGAATTCACAATTGGAGACGAGGCACAACCAATTGTGGCTTCGGTAGGACCATACGCATTGATCAACGTAACGCTCTCCGAATCACCCCATGTTTCAAGTGTTCGTTGAGAAATCTTCTCACCACCCACACCCAGATACCTCAACAGAGGAACATCACTCGGTATCAAACCACACTGATCCAAGAGCGACGGCACAAAGCCCGCATGTGTAATTTTTAACTCTTGTAACGCCATAGGTAAATCATCCAGCAACATAGATTTAACCCCTGTGATGCATGAGAGACCGTGTCGCCAGGCGAGGAACATTTCAGCCACATGCACATCAAAGGCTCTGCTCGCTAGTCCGAGGAATCTCCCAACGCCGCCGAGTACCCGAGTCGCAGGGACGTACTCGCATATGAATTCAGATTGGGCTTCGCAGAAAGATGTGAGATTACCGCAGCTGATGAGGACTCCCTTGGGGTTACCTGTCGAGCCGGAAGTATAGAGAAGATAAGCGACTGCGTCTTTGCTCTTTTTGACTTTCAGAGCGACATCGCTGTCGGATTGGTATTGATCGCGATTAACGTTCACGAGGAGACATCCTTCAGGGACAAAATCGACGGTTTCCTCGGAGAAGAATATAGCGGAATTACTATCTTTCAACAAGAGTGTTTTTCGCTCAATCGGCAACGATTCATCGATTGGTAGATACGTGTTTCCAGACTTGTAGATTCCGACTGTGACGGCAAACGCTGTCAGTGTGCGTCCTAGACACATACCGATCATGCGGCCGTGAATTCCATGTGATGCGATGAATGTCGCTACGCGGTTAGCTTCTTGATCCAATTGTGCATAGCTCCATGTGTGGATGATGCTTGAATCTCGACCGATTGATTCTGCGATCTCGGCGGCGGCCCAATCAGGGTGTGTTTCGGCCCAGTGCTCGAACCAGCAGAGGGGATTATTCAGGTCGACGACGGGATGGAGCTTCATTTCGCGGTATTTGGAGACAGCGATTAACTCGGTGGGGAAAAAGTTGGTGAGTTCTTGGATAGAAGTATCGGGATGGGAAATCATGGCTGTGATCAAAGCATCCAATTGCTTGGTCAGAACTTCCACGCCAGGGATATCCAATACACCTGCTTCGACCGAGACAACGAGATCGAAGCCACCGTTTGCATTTTCCTCTACATTGAGTGTGAGATCATGTTCGACGTTCAAACCTAGGAAATCTTCGATTTCATTCCAGAGCTGGTGTTTATGTTCACTTTCGGTATTGCGTGGATGGAACACAAAGACGGCGGGATATAGCGGCTGGGATTTGGGTCGTCCGATGAGCTTGCGAAGCATACCTGGATTGGCATCGCGGTGGTTGTAGGCGGCAACATTCATGGAATCGTGTTGCTGACTATTTCTCTCGCGGTGCCGGATGTGAAAATGGGGACTGGGGTTAAAGATACAAGAGGACCGATGATATCTTCTAGTGAAGAAGAAGCCAGACGTTCGGATAACACTTCACCAATTACAATTTTCTGGTCCGTTTCGAGGAAATCGGATACCATGCATGCCCAGGCGGCGCGAAGGATGGAATTTGCAGACGAGCAGTGGAATTCTTGAGCTGTAGTTTGCAATTTGGAGATTGGAACAGAAAGAGGAATGGATACCGTATTATAGGTTCGAGATTTATTTTCTGGGGCCAGTTTTTCTACGCTTTCGTCTGCTTCGCTAATAAAGTCTTTGAGCATATTTCTCCAGAAGGCCATGTCTTCTTGTGGACTGGTTCTTTGCATGAAGGAAACTGCGATGGCTTCTCGGATTTGGTGACGTGAGCTGAGGAGGTTTTCCTGAGAGGTGTATGCAGCGTGAAGATCATCGATGATGAACTTCAAGGAAGGTCCATCGTGAATAGTGTGGTGAATTGAAAGCATCATTGTTCTAACATCATCGCGTTCAAATACGACGACGGCCCATGGGGAGTTGATGAATGCACTAGTCTGATGCTTGCGAGCGATTTGTTGTGCATGAGTTTTTGCACTTATTGAGAAATCCTCGTTTGTAACTTTCACAACAGTCCAGTCTACCAATGGCTTCTGGTAAATCAATTGAAGGAACGTCGATGCACCAAAACCAGAATTTGCCTTTGCAGACACCGAAGCCGTTGGCAAGAATCCAATACGAAGAGCTTCGTTATTCTGAGCCACCTTAAACCAAGCAGCTTTCAAAAGCTCGAGATCGATGTTGTCAGAGAGATTAAAGAAGTGGTTACTCCAATAGTACTCGTAGTTACGGAAAGTTTCACTGAGAAGATTTTCCTGTAGTGGCAAGGTCGGACAGACGGAAAATGCTTTATCGCCAATTAAAGATGTTTCTGCAACCTTGGGGAACCATTCGCGGTGGAACACCTCGAGTAGTCTAGAGGAGGAATCAAGACAAGTAGAGTTAGAAGCAGGCTTGTTGAAGAGGTTGCAGAGATCCGCGATGGTTTGACAGTGCAGCATGTGCGCAGCTGAAACCTTGTAACCGGCAGTTTTCAATCTTGCTGTGAAACGTACTGCAGCGATTGAATCAAAACCTAAGGTTACAAGTCGACTGTTTGATCGGAAAGTCTTGCTCTCCGTTCCTAGAAATGTGGCAAAATGCTCTAGGAGTCGTTCTTCCTTTTCTGTCCAAGCTGAGTCCTGAGTGGATGTGAAGTTACTTTCCCATGCCTCGAGGTCTAAAGCTTCGTAAGCACCAGATAGTGCTTTACGGTCGATCTTGGCAGATGCAGTTACTGGGATGCGATTTAGCACTACGAAAACGCTAGGAATCATATGCTCTGGGAGATTTGCTTTCGATGCAGCCATGGCGGCTTTGGCAACCTCGACTGCGCGATCATTGTTAATGAGTGAATCTTGGGCAGGAATACTTGGGACTGACAAGAAGGTCACCAAGACCTTTGTCGGACGATCTGGTCGGGCCATGAGCATGGTAACCGCTTGTTCCATATCGGGATGGCAATGGCTGAGCGCAAAACTGATCTCGCTCAACTCTACTCGCATTCCGTTGATCTTCACCAAGTCATCACGTCGTCCCACGAACTCTAGACTACCATCGTGAAGTTGACGGACGATGTCTCCGGTCATGTATATCTGAGCTCCACAACTCTCATTCCAATGGAACTTCTCTTCCGTCTTGGCTGGATCTTTCCAATAGCCTCGAGCTACCTGTGGACCCGACAGAGCCAGTTCACCCACACCATGTCTCATCACGACTCGCTCGTTGTTGAGCACAAAGACGCCCACAGAGGGTAATGGTAATCCGACATTTGTGCTCTTAAATGGATTTTCGAAACCGCCGAATTGTTTGACTGTAGATACAACACTCACTTCAGCAGGACCGTAAGTGTTATACGCGAGCATATTCTGTGACCAATCGTCTGCGACAGGTTGAGGCAAGGCTTCTCCAATCATTGTCACGACCTCGAGGGTCTTACAATGCGCGCGAGATACGATTGTTGCAAAAGCAGGAGTGAGATGGGCATGTGTCGCATTGGTTGCGTTAGCGAGATCCGGGAAAGAGCCAAGCATTACATCTTTGGGTGCAGCGATGACAGTTCCACGCAAACCCCAGGTGTAGAAGAGATCTTGCACAAAGACGTCGAATGTTGGTTGTGAGAATTGGAGACAGCGAACTGCGCCAGAGCGGCTTACAGGTATGCTTTCTTTCAAAGATTGCATAGCTGTGGCTGCGGCGCTATGCTGCACTTGTACACCTTTAGGCAGACCTGTTGTTCCACTGGTCCAGATCAAGTATGCCATCGAGTTACTTCTGATGATGGGCAAGCTTGACGGTTCGGTTTCATCATAGCTAAAGGTAGAATTTGTGGCATTGTTCTCTGAAATATCGATCAAGACAACACCTTGTGGAATGGCTTGAGCATCTTGACTCACAGTATCGTTTGCCACCAAAAGCATGTTGGCATCTGTTCTAACAATCAAGTCGTGTCTGCGAGATGCGGGGAACGTGGGATCAATTGGACACCAGGCGCCACCAGCTTTCAGAATACCAAGAATAGCCACGTAGAGCTCTGGCGATTTGTACATGGAAAAGGGAACAACCTTGTCCTCCAAAGGACCGTATCTTTGAACGAGATAAGATGCAAGTCTGTTGGCTTTGCGGTCAAGTTCAGCATATGTCCATTTCACGTTTCCTGCTGGATCTTGAGCCGTGAAGTCATTCATGAAGATAAGTGCGATATCCTCAGGATTCATCTTTGTGTTCCGCTCAAATTCGGTATGCAAAAGAGCACCGGCCCCAGTCAATTCGGTTGACATGACTTGAGGGTATATTGATGGAGCAGTAGCGTATCGACCATCCATATAAGAGTTTTCAGGATTGCGGATGACAAAACTGATCAGATCACTGAATTGCTGCAACATCAGGGTAGCAGATTCATCATTCAAGAACTCATCTGTATACGTTGCTCTGAGACGAAGCGATCCGTCTACCTCAGGCCAGATCTCAATCATGACAGCAAAATCATTGGCCATTGCAGGGTAGTCAACTTTTGACCACAATTCAGAATGGTTCGTGCCAGTAGAAAAGTCCTGGAATGCAAGAAGAGTATCGTAGTACAAGCCTCCATTTGGGGCGACGATAGAGTTCAATGGTATCTGGAGATGACCGAGAGATTCTGCATTAATCTTGGCTATCGCGTGCAATATCGAAGAGACGCTAGTTGTTTTTGCCTCGAGCAATTGAGCGGGAATATTGATTGGGACAGTAGTGAATGTAGGACCCATGCAAACTTTCGAATCTTCATCCAATCGACCAGATATGACACTACCAAAAGTTGAGCTGTGTATGGAATCCTTGTAAGTGGCAAGAATCAATGCCCAAGCCGCCTGAAGAATACTCAAAGGTGAGGTAGAGCAATACATGGCACCATCACGCAGGCCGTCTATACCAATTGACGCTTTCATTGAAGTGGTCAATGGCAGCTTTGTTATCGTTTCTGGTTTCAAGCCAGTGAGTGGCGGGAAAGGAACCGGGTCACAGTCTTTCAACTGAGAGGACCAGAATTCGATTGTTTGGGTAGGATCTGAGCCATAGTGCATATTCACCGCGGTAGAAATCTCAGTTCTTCTCGGAATATCCGATCCACGATATACGAGGTCGACTTCATCAAACAAAAGCTGTAGAGAAGCACCGTCAAATATGCCGTGGAACACGCTGAAAGTGAAGAATGTTTTAGTAGGTGATTGGATAAGAGTCATTTGATAAGGTGGTCTATCCAAGACTATTTCGTTCTCGGCTTCACGTAGTGTTGATTGTATGCACTGATCTATAATCTGGGGGTAGTCAGATTCGCAAGTTACTACCTTCCAGTTTGGTACACTCAAGTTGGATGACTCTTTCAGAACACATTGTCCAAATGGCGATAACGTATCATCGATGGCTACAAAAACCATCCTGTATGATTCATGGAGTTGGACAGTGGTTATCCAGGAATCCTTGAGTCTGGAGATATCAACTGATGAGTTGATGTGATGGACAGAGTTGTGTATATAATGCTTGTTATCCTTTGAACTCCTCAAGGAACTTGCCAGCATTCCGGACTGTGTAGCAGTAGTGGGTAAGATCTTGGCGATATCTTCCGGCGAGATACCAAGACTCTCACTGCAAATAGGTCGATGCTTCGCCTCAAATTCATCGAACGATATAGAAGCGCCTGCAAAATCATGAGTAGGCGCCTCCCCAGTATCATTCTTGCGGCGCTCCGTTATGGTGTTTCTCAACTTTAGGGGAGTTGCACCTCCAAGTACATCGGCAATACTGAGCTCGGTGATGCCTGCATCTCTAGCTAATTGCAAAAATCGAATAGCTTTCAAACTGTCAATACCAAGAGAGAACAAGTTGGTGTTCGAATTCAAGTTCGCAGTGAATCCCACCAGCTCCGACAGTAGGTTGCAAATCAGTCTTTCGATTTCATCTTGCACTCCAGTACTTTTCGAGCTGGCATCTTCACCATTCTGAAGCGAGTTGGTGGGCTTTGAGCATTCCTCGTTCCAAAGTTTCTCTGTCATGACCGAAAGAGATTTTCTGTCAATCTTGCCAGCCAAAGATCTCGGCATCTGAGATAAGACAAAATACTTTGAGGGACACATATATGATGGAAGAAGTCTGGCTGCATTCTCACGACACCTAGCTTTCACGTCTTCCTTGGTGTTATCCGCATCGAGAATGATGAAACAAACGGCTTCCTCGCTTCCAGCCTGATTAGCGAATCGCTTATAAGAGACTGTTACCGCCTCTTTTATTCCTGCGCAACTCGCCACGACTGTATCGATCTCGCCGAGATTAACTCTTCTGCCGCTGAGCTTGACCTGAGAAGTGTCCATACGACCAAGGAACTCCACAACATGTTGACCCCTACGATCAGTAACAATCCGAGCCTTGTCTCCAGTGAGATACAGTGTTCCGAATTTAGGACTGACGACAAAGGCTTTAACATTTTGCTCAGGTCGATTCAAATAGCCAATGCTGACTTGAGGTCCTCCAATAGCAAGCTCACCAGCGAATCCTCTGGGAACAGGTTTGACAGATCCTGAGCTTGTATCCACGACAAGTAGCGAACATGTTGGCAAAGCTGGTCCGATGATTGAGCCTCTGTCATCAGGATGGAAATTAGGAATTAATGTGCAGTTAATAGCTGCTTCTGTAGGACCATATGCATTGCAAAGTTCAGAAGACTGATCTGGGCTAGGCAAACGTGCAAAGTCTTCGATATTTTTTCGCAGAACAGTCTCACCCATGGTCCACAAACTTTTGAGCGAGATAAGTTTAGAACGACGGAGGAGAGCTGCCATACTGGGTGTCGCCATCATGACCGTTGCCTGTAGTTCAGATACAACCGCCTCGAAATCTGTCAGAGTAAGGTCACGTGAAGCAGAGCAAAGTGTGGCTCCTGTCGATAATGTCACAAAGATTTCCATTAGTGAAGGGTCGAAAGTTGGAGCCGCAAATTGAAACCATCTTGGTATTCCTTCCGATGATGGTGGCAATTTTGAAGTGATAGCATGCGATGCAATGGAGCAAGCTGCTGCGAGATGAGTTATCTGTACACCCTTTGGCTTGCCCGTTGAACCAGAAGTATACATGATATATGCGACATCGTTCTCCTCGGGGCTTGCCACCGTACGTAATGATGGAGGATTTTGGGTGGTGATGCCGTCACGGGTTCTCATGTGAATGAAAGACTCAATATCGATCCACTTCATAGATTCTGATGAAATGGCAGAAAGCTTGTGACGATATTGTTCTGAGCCCAAAACAATTTGAGGCATCAAGTCTTCATGAATATCCTTCAGCCTCTGAGGAGGTGCCTCAATAGGAAGTGGGCAAAATGCCAAACCTGCTTTCAAAATCGCCAGATAGGCAATATAAAGTTCGGCGGAAGTCGAAAGCAAGACAGGTACAAACTTAGAGCTACCACTCTCTTGTTTGCCTCGGGATACTAGTATATACTCAGCCAGACTCGTCGTGATCTCATTCAGTTCTGAGTATGTGAAAGTTCTTCGCACGAGGGATTTCGATTCTGAACCTTGAGATTGCAGGAAATCCAACGCAACTCGGTTTGGATATTGAGTGACGCGTCGCTCAAAAGCCGAATGCAACAAAACTTTCTCGCTTTGAAGATTCGACACTCTTTCATCTTCAACGAAAGAGGGCGGCCTGATTAGTGGTGGGAAGTTTAGAATCGATTCGTTTGCTACGGCTTCCGCATCACTTGATGGGGAACGTCGTAAATAGGAAACGACTGCGTCGAATATATGTGGAGCATCTGAAGCAGGTAGTAAAGATGGATCATATGATAGAGTAGATTCAACGATGGTTGAATTCTCCACAGTGATGACGATTGTGAAAGGTGTCTGTGAGTGTTAGTAGTATTTTTGAGTCTCATGGCTAGATACTTACTATATCGGATGGTAATGTCACATTACGAGACTTAGTAATATATAAAGCAAAATCGAGAGATTTCATCGATTGGGGAATATCTTGAATGAATTCCCACGAAATCAATGGGCGGCTATTTTGCTCACTTTGAGACTCTTCTGTCAAGCGACCGTGGATGATGCCACATTCTTGCGAATTATCTGTAGTTGGAGAGTTTGAGGATATATCAGAGGAAGCGTAGAAAGCAACCTCATCGTGCCCTGTGAAAGCAGCAACGAATTGGGCATAAGATTCATGAATAGCGGAACGATCGAAATTCCATTCTCCAGATGAGAAAGTTTTCTTGATTGACTTCAAGTACGTTTCTGAATCATTTCCGGATCGATTCCCGTCCAACTCTCCTCTAGAAACATGTGAATCTGCGATGTTTCGATAAGCAGTGTCTAAGAGTGGAAAAGTGGTATTGGGTATTATGGAATCCATGGTTTTTTGGAAATTTTGATGGTTGATAGTGAAATTATTGATACTAGGGATGATTATTCATGAGAGAAAGTATCAAAGAACTGAAGATAGGCAAGGCTGGAAAACACTTGAATCATTATTAGGATGGTAGTCGAAGGGTAGTTCAAATCACTTGGCCACAAATTTCTCATTGTCGAGCTACGCATTGCTCAATGCCAAGGTATATTGTGGAATCTCCATGTTGCAGAATGTATACCCCCGATCACGGCAAGAGAAGTAGCTCATTGGAGCTTCGGAGCATTGGGGACCTTGATACTGGGGTCTAGTCGCAAAAATATTGACATTGGAGATCGTCTCGACATACTTGACTCGGTCTCAAGTTCTTGATGATCCACCCCAAGATCTCATTAGTCAATAACGGTGATCTAGCTTAGTGAAGATAACAGGAATGGACATCAACATCATCGCGCAGTAGCCGTATGGATAAGGGTTGTGGAGGGTAACAGGTTAAGTGCGGGTTACAACGGGTATCCACGAAGGTATTAGGCTATAAGGAAGCGTCAACATTGAAAGGTAACGCTAACTTGTAAAATATTCTTACTATAATCTAAGCTAGATTTTTATCTGATTTGATCTGATAACCTCTCAGAGTCAGATCCATCGAACATGTCGAACAACTTGGAATAATACCGGTGTGGCACTTGAGCTTGTACCACCGTACAAACGCTAAGCTCTACTAATCTTTTCCCAGTTTAGGGAATTTAATCAAGAGCAGCTTTCTATTTGAAGGCTCATGCAATTGGCTTGATACCGTTGAAAGTGGAAGAAAAATTCTAATTCAAAGTGGAGAAAAGGTCAAGTATAATTTCGAAAGCTATATATCGATCGAGTACCAGTCTGTGTTCATGCTTTGGTTAGTGAGTTTGTGCGGATGTGTACAGCCTTGGCTATCTTCTCAAGGAACCTAGAAGTACGGGGTAGAATGTATATGAGAGATAGACCCTCAATATTAAGATTGCTCTTGAGCTCCATTATAACACCGGTCCCGAATCAGCAACTTGATGCTTGATTGAAGTCTGTCGGGATCTGCCTCAAAGCTGTTCTTATACTTATCGACAGATACGAGTAGTCATGAAGAGTTTTTGCTATTCATGATCCTGCAAGTGGATGTTGTAATTGACGTTTTCATCGGGTAAACTACTCTATGCATATACCTGTTTGACATTTAGCATTGAAAGCTAGCAGAAGCTTGATCATTACTACAGTGGATGGTCTTGGACTATACCTCTTTTGGATAAGGCCCCGCTTTTAGTGCTCTTAGCTTTTCTATAATCTTATCAGATCATCTCGTCTAACCCATCAGATGCAACCACCGATGTCGGTTCCCAGTTTTAATTACCTGCTAAAAGTTTTCATTACTCAATATACTTTCCTTGGTGTATCCATCATAATGCCACTTGTTACACGAATCTTATCAGATCATCTAATCAGATCAAATACATGACTCCGAACAGTGATGTGATTTTGTTCTTCTCCTCCAAATTCGTTAGAGGGGTAACTAGTATACGAACTCTGTGGAGTCATTAGCTCTAACCCATGTTTTCGACGACATCATTCATCTCATCCACGGAGCAAACCGTTTCTAACATTAATGGATAGGGGTCGAATTGAACTTAGTCGTGTTTCCATTTTCTCTCAAATGTACGTGCCAATGCTTTGCACTCCGATTTTCGTGCCCAATTTGTGAATGAGTTTTTGTTATGTAAATTCCAAGAACCCTTCTCCATTACCAGGATGCCACTCTTGGGCGGAATATAGACAAAAAATTCATCGCTTGTCAAAGCAGAGACTTTTTCGTTGATTCAAGTGCATGGTGTTGTATCTTCGACATTCGAGTTCTGTAACAATCATTCATCTTGATTGCAGTCATGTCAAAACTTTCGGCACTGAAAGATCGAATCGTCGGTCTGCCCTCCAAGGTTTCGGGTGCCGAAAAGCAAAGCGGACAATACTTACGTCTATTACTCTCAAGTGATCCAGAGCCGCTCGATTATGTTCTTCTTGTGGTTGGATTCATCACCTCGATCGCTTCTGGGGTTCCATTCCCCCTACTAGGTATCTTATTTGGCCAACTGGTAGACGACCTCAATTCAACATCTTGTAGTACTTCCTCGACTAGTTCAGCGTCACTTACAGATAGCGTTGTGACCAAAGTGTTGGATGTCATTTACGTGACCATCGCGAATTTCTGTTTGATCTATATTCATACTGGATGTTGGAGTCTTCTCGGTGAGCGTCTTGTTAGACGCCTGCGAATGAGATATCTAGATGTCCTTCTACGTCAAGAAGTCGCATTTTTCGATACATTGCCATCTGGTGAAGTAGCCTCCCGCCTCGATGTCGATCTTCAAACCATTCAAACAGGAACTTCCGAGAAAGTCGGAATCTTCATTGCCAGTATCTCCTACTTTGTCGCCTCATATATCGTTTCTTTCATCAAGAGCGCAAAACTGGCAGGTATGCTCATATCTTTGGTTCCAGCCTATCTTTTGATGGCATTGGTGGGAGGACACTTCACTCAAAAGTATGCAAGCCGAATGTCAGACCACGTGGCAGCAGCGACAGCTATTGCTTCCGCGGGACTATCTAACATGTCTTTGGTCCAAGCTATGGGTGCCAGTTCTCGCTTGGAAGCTGTATATGCTCGCCACATTGGTGCGGCACAAAGAGAGGGAATCATGAAAGCTATTGTCGCATCCGTCCAGCTTGGTTGTTTGTACTTCATTGCTTACTCTGCCAATGCTCTTGCTTTCTGGCAAGGAAGTAGAGAAATTGCTGCCTCTGTTGACAGTGGTTCCGGAACCACAGTAGGAGCTGTATACACCGTCATCTTCCTCCTTGTTGACTGTAAGTTATTCATAACCATTGTTTAGACTCGTACTAATAATATGCAGCATCTTTCATTGTCAGTCAAATCGCTCCTTTCATGCAAATATTTGCCGCAGCTAGTAGCGCATTCATCAAGTTGGTCGCGACCATCAATAAGCCCTCCTTGATCGATGGAACAACCACAACGGAAGGCCAAACCTTCACTACAATCCCAGGAGATCTGGAATTCAAGGATGTGGAGTTTGCATACCCATCGCGACCTGAGGTGGTGGTTCTTAAGTCATTCAGCTTGAGAATCCCAACCAACAAACACACTGCACTTGTCGGTCTCTCTGGTAGCGGAAAGTCCACTGTCGCAGCTTTAGTCCAACGCCTTTACAACCCTATTCGCGGTGATGTTTTCATTGGTGAACACAACATGAAGACCATCAATGTCAAGTGTGCGAGAAGTTTCATTGGAACTGTCGCTCAAAATTCGACACTTCTCGATCGATCAATTCTCGAAAACATCGCCTATGGTTTAGTCAATTCACCACTTCCAGAACATATTGAGCTCAGAGAGACGCTATTAGACTCAAGCTTACCAGATCTTGCTCACGCTATCCGTGAAGGTGCCAATCCTGAAGAGGCCCTCGCCGCTAGTTCAGCCAACGTTCAAACAATTGTTAGACTTGTGAGAGAAGCAGCGACTGAAGCTGATGCTCTTGGATTTATTGATCGATTGCAATACGGCATGTCTACAGAAGCTGGTCCTGGAGGCAATCGACTCAGTGGTGGTCAAAAACAACGTGTTGCATTAGCCCGTGCTATTGTTCGCCGCCCATCTATCTTACTCCTCGACGAAGCTACCGCATCTCTGGATTCGGCCAGTGAGCATTTAATTCAAATGGCATTGGAACGAGTTAGTGAAGGAAGAACCACCATCTCTATTGCCCACAGACTGTCAACAATCAAGAACGCAGATAACATTGTGGTCATGAGTCAGGGTGAGATTCTTGAGCAGGGCACATACACTGATTTACTTGCTCGAGACGGCGCTTTTGCAAACCTTGTCCGACTTCAGACACTTGCTTCTTCTGACGAACCAATATCTGAGATTCAAACCGAGGATGCCAATGAAGATGAAGAGTATTTGCAAGAAAAGATTGATAATACTGTAAGTAACTCGCTCACATAGAGTTTCATAATTAAAACTAATCGACATAGGAATTCGCAAAGGTCAAGTCATTGGACAATACCGGCAAATCTACGCCAGTTGCTGAAAACAGCGATTCTGGCGAAACACTCGCGCCCAAGAATGATAAGACTGCAACTAAAGGCCGATCATTCCTCTCTACGTTCTTCGGTATTATGTCGATGGCTAGACCTCATTTACTGTTTGTTTTCTTGGGCATTGCCGGCGCTGTTGTAGTTGGCGGCTCATATTCTGGAGAAGCTGTAATTTTCGGCCATACAGTCAGCAGTTTAAGTCCATGTCTCAGCCCAGCAAGCATCCGTAGTAACGGAAGTTTGTATGGATTGTTGTTCTTCTTTTTGGCTTTGGCTGAATTTTTCGCCAACGTCATCAGCGCATCTTCTTTCGGTCGTGTTTCTGAGAAGCTCCTATATCGTGTCCGTGTTTTGGCGCTCAAGTCTCTTTTCGCACAAGACATTCAATGGCATGAATCTGAAAATAGAAGCCCTGGTACACTTATTTCTTATATCAGCGCTGATGCGAACGCATTGAGTGGTATTACTGGAACCCTTCTCGGAGTTATGCTGTCGATTATCGTTTCCATGGTCTCTGGAATCATCCTCGCACACGCCGTTGCGTGGAGAATCGCCGTTGTATTGCTTGCCACTATCCCCGTCCTACTTTCATCTGGTTTCTTGAGATTGAAAATTCTCGCAAAGTTCCACGAAAGGCACGCAAAGGCTTTCTCTAACTCCGTCGCTATTGCTACCGAGGCTGTTTCGGCCATCAAGACCGTTGCAATCTTTTCACTCGAAGAAGAAACTGTCCAGGTTTTCAATAGATCGCTGAAAGCTCCTTATACTGCAACACTAAAGACAATTGCATACGGAAATTTCTGGCTCGCCATGGCTTACAGTATGAGCAACTTCGTCTACGCACTAGCATATTGGTGGGGAGCTCGAAATGTTGCAGAAGGACGTTACAACCAACAGCAATTCTTCACAGTCCTACCTGCTCTTCTGTTTAGTGCCCAACTATGTGGACAAATGTTCTCCCTCGCTCCTGATATTTCTAAAGCCGGCGTGTCCGCTGCACGAGTTCTTGATTTGATAGATATCGGTCCTGAGAATCTCCTCGAATCTAAGAACAGCCGAGCAACAAATGATCCAGAAGCATCTCAAGGAATGATTGAGAAACAACCCATCAGATCAGGTGGTCTTGCTGTACGCTTCAACAATGTTCGTTTCCCCTACCCCGCTCGTCCGGATATCGAAGTTCTCAAAGGTCTCACCATCAACATTACTCCCGGTACATTCTGCGCGCTTGTTGGTCGTTCTGGAGCCGGAAAATCAACCATCATTGCCCTCCTTGAGCGTTTCTACTCTCCAGCATCCGGCAGTGTCGAAATTGACGGTCAAGACATTTCAAAGATTGACGGCGTCGCGTTCCGCGATGACATTGCACTCGTTCCCCAGGAAAGTGTTCTTTTTGACGGCACCGTCCGCTTTAATCTCGAACTTGGCGCTCGTATCGGACATACCCCAACCATGGAAGAGATCGAATCTGCATGCAAATTGGCAAACATCCACGATACCATTGTTTCTCTTCCCGAGGGATACGAAACCCCTTGTGGTTCCAATGGTGGACAATTTTCGGGCGGTCAATTACAACGTCTCTCTATTGCTCGTGCATTACTCAGAAAGCCACGCTTACTACTTCTTGATGAGTCGACTTCGGCTCTTGATGCTGAGTCTGAGAAGTTGTTTGAACAGGCTCTGGAAAAGACGGCAAAGGGCGTTACTGTCATCGCCATTGCGCATAGATTGAGAACCATCAAGAAGGCGTCGACAATTTTCGCAATTGACGGCGGTATCTGCGTGGACCAAGGAAGTCACGACGAATTGGTGGCCCGAAATGAAGAGTATAGAGCTAATGCTTCCTTCCAGACATTGTGAGTTAATTCAGTGGTGGCGGGGGAAACCAAAAGGAAAAAAATTCGGATAGAATGGATAGAAAGCGTTTTGCATAATTATTCACGGTGTTTTTACTTTCGACGACCCCACACCAAAATAATTTGGATTTTTCGTCCTCTATCTGTAACGATTATACTTCGACCATGTTTTGGAATGAAAAGAAGATTTCCTATACCTATAGACTTTAGCATACTGTACATACATACATTAATTACCAATCTTAGACAACATTTACTTCACTTAAGTCCAGATATATGGTTGCCCCCTTGCTTGATTGTTGATTGCAAACCAATATATCTTCGGCCATACGAATGCAAAGTCGTAATATAATAATGCTCTTTCTAATCATGCTTCCATCATACAATCGGGGACAGCATTAATCACAAGGTCGGTCAGTTGATGACTCAACAAATTGAATGGAATCCTAGGTAGGCACTGAAAGTCTTCTAAGCCAAGAAGCCAACGTACCCTGAAACTACCCCGCAAACACGAAATTGTGCCATGTGGTATGAGCGGAACGAGAAGTAGCGGGATAAGGGCAAGTGGTGGAATGAATGGCTGATGGAACAAATACACCGATTGAGCTATTGTTTCCAATATTGCGAAGTAATTGAATCATGTTCCTAGAATCGAGTCTATCTCTCTGAACCGTCTCAGACTACTTTGTTAGACAGATATGGAATAATTAAATCAAGTAAATTACATAAGACTATCTCTATATGTGACTAATTCAGAGAAACCGTGAGTTCACCATCTACAAATAAGGAAGGTTGACGCTATGAAGTACCCCGGATCTAACTGTTTTGGTAAGCCGAAACTACCCCTCTCATTACCTAGCTTCCCGAGCTTCTCTAGCTTATTATCATCATCCATCCCGCATATCTGTTTGTACTTCCAAACTTCTTGAGACACCAGATACACATCACCCTTTTTTCAGATCATCACAACACCAAGAAGATCAAGATATTAAACATGGTTACTGCTTCGTACGCCTTCTTTGAGGCCCTTGTTGAGGTAACCAACCAACCTTATCTTATCATCCCAAAACTTCACATGTAAATAGATAATCTAACAATTTATCAGGCGGGGGTAACTCATTGCTTCGTTAACTTGGGATCAGATCATCCTTCTATTTTAGAAGCTTTGATTACACTGAAAAAGGAGAATAAGGGTCCAGAAGTCATAGTAAGTTTTCAAACATATCAATTGATCAATCTCTTGATTGCATTTCCATGATTATAAACTAACAACGCTTTCCAGACATGTCCAAACGAAGTATGCACACAAATACTCTTCCCACTTTTGAAATATACTCATATCTTCCATAGATGGTAGCCCTCTCCATGGCCGATGGATATGCCCGTCTAACCGGCAAACCTCAATGTGTAATCGTACACGTCGATGTAGGAACTCAAGGATTGGGAGCTGCGGTTCACAATGCCTCATGCGGACGGGCACCCGTTCTTATATTTGCCGGGCTATCCCCCTACACAATTGAGGGAGAAATGCGTGGATCGCGAACAGAATATATCCATTGGATACAAGATGTACCAAATCAAGCTGAGATTGTCAGACAATATTGTCGATATTCGATGGAGATTAAGACGGGGAAGAATATTAAACAGATGGTCAATAGGGCTCTTCAGTGGGCTACTAGTGCTCCTGCTGGACCAGTCTATTTGTATTCAGCAAGAGAAGTCATGGAAGAGGAAATTGATGATTATGACTTAGTTCAGGAACATTGGAATGCAGTAGAGCCAGCTGCACTTTCTGAGAGTTCAGTTGCTACGATTTCTGAAGCATTGGTCAATGCAAAGGAGCCATTGATTATTACTGGCTATAGTGGTCGAAATCATAAGTCAGTAGGAGCTCTGGTTGAACTGGCGGACACCGTCAAAGGTCTTCGTGTTTTGGATACTGGTGGGAGTGATATGTGCTTTCCAGCTGATCATCGTGCTTGGTTGGGATTGAGATATGGCAGTGATAAGGCCATTGAAACTGCCGACGTCATTGTTGTCATTGACTGCGGTACATACTCAACCTTTCAACAACGACATATGGAGACTAACATACTTTCATGCAGATGTACCCTGGGTTAACACTTTGTGTCATCCTTCAAAATCAGCTAAGATATTCCATATCGATGTTGACCCACTCAAACAACAAATGCCAGTAAGTCCTCCCAGTTTTATCTATGCGAACATCTTTCATGGAGATCAACACTAAACAATTTAGGTATTTTATCTCGCCGCACTTTCTCGTTACAGAGCGGATAGTTACACATCCATAAGCCAACTCACAAAATACATAAAAAATGCTACTGACTTTGCCAACACACTCTCCTCCTCACCATACACCGAGCGCTGGGAAGCTCTCGCTACAGATCACACCAAACGCCTTGAAACTATTAACGCTGCTTCATCAAAAGTCTTTGAAGATGATTCCTTTGGCACTGGTTACCTCTGTCAACAATTACGTAAGATCGTACCTGCTGACACAATCTTCGCTATCGAAGCCGTAACCAATACCGTATTCGTAGCAGATAACATTCAAGCTACTCTCCCCGGTTCTTGGATCAACTGTGGAGGAGGAGGCTTAGGATGGTCTGGTGGTGGAGCTTTAGGTATTAAATTAGCATCGGAGATTGAGAATGGGAAAGGAAAGGGGAAGTTTGTCGTCCAGATTGTTGGAGATGGAACATTTTTATTCTCGGTTCCAGGAAGTGTTTATTGGATCTGTCAAAGATACGGTATTCCTGTTCTAACTATTGTTTTGAATAACAAGGGTATGTTTTTCTTGATGGAGTATTTGGAAATTCTGATTGCAGTTACTAACGATGGCACAGGTTGGCACGCACCAAAACGATCTCTCATGCTAGTTCATCCAGATGGTATGTTTTTTCTCCTTCTACTTCTCACAATCAAACTCTCATTCGTGACACTCCTCTAACAAAATATCAGGTATTGGATCCAAAGCCACAAACGAAGAATTGAACATTTCTTTCGCACCACAAGTTCCAGATTACGCGGGTATCGCTCGAGCCGCATCTGGAAACAGCGTAATGGCCGAAAAGATTTCGAAAGCTAGTGAGATCGAGAAGGTCTTGCTGAAGGCTGTGGAATGTGTTAAGGGAGGTACGACGGCGGTTATCGATGCCGTTGTTGTACCTGGTTGTTAGGAGGGTGCATAGCTGGCGATTGAATATGCATATGGCGATTCGGAGGAGGGAAATTTGATGATTTACAGGCTTTTATAGGATTTGTCAAAGGTAGATTAGATATGCGTGCATCATCGTAGGGGGTTTATTGATGAAATTATGGCATTTATTACAATATCCATGGAAGTGATGTTGTGTTATGGTGAATACTCTTTTGAAAGACAGAAACGAGATTACGCAAACACTAGGAAATTGGAGTGAGTGAATGGATGAATAGATGTTTTTGGAATATCTAATTACTCAGGTGACGGGAAACTTTGATCTGAGGTTTGAGAGTCGAATATCTAGGTAGTAGGGATGATAATGATAGTAATAAATTAATTCATATAAGCGAAGTGAAGAATAGGTTATTATTAGGATGAGATGAGATGGAATGAGAGGAGATGGGATGAGAGGAGAGTTGATGAGAGGAGAGTTGATGGGATGAGAGTTGATGAGAGGAGAGTTAATAAGAATAAAACTAAATAAGAATAGAGTTAATTAAATGAGACGAGAGGGAATTGATATTATACGAAAGAGATGAGAGATAAGGAATAAGAGATAAGGAATAAGAGATGAGAAATAAGAAATAAGAAATAAGAGATAAGAAACAAGAGATAAGAGATAAGAGATAGGGAGGTAAAGTAAAGTAAAGATAAATAAATAAGTTCTCTACAATATATACGATAGGTATCAATACAAATCACCTAAATTAAAATAGACAACTAAACAACTAAACAAGCAGAAGGGAGAAGGGAAAAAACAAGATCTAGATCTGATATTGAAAATTCATTTACCTCGTAGATAGATATCTAGCTAGATATCTATCTAAAATATCGAGACGAAAAAGGATTGGAGAAGGATTGTTAATCGTTCATCTATTTATTTGTTGATTCATGTAATGACTCGATGAATCATTCAGAACTCTTAGTACGTATAATCTATCAAAAATCATGCACATTCTCAATTCACCGCGGTTTTCACATTTTTCACATTTCCCATCATACTCATAATCCAACCTCACACATCAAGAACCACTCCCCTATCTCGCCAATTCTTCAACTAAGACTCATTAATAATCCTTTCCATCTCATCCACATCCTTAACCACTGTCGTTAAATTATCATAACCATCTTTCGTGATCAGAATGTTATCTTCAATTCTGACACCTATTTTTATTCGTTAGTTTTCCTGCATTCAAATTCAAATAGGGAAGACAGGAGAAAGAAAGCAGGAAACCCTACCTCCAACTTCCCAGTACTTCTCCAAAACATCCGAGTTGATATATTGAGCATGTGCCGGATCTTTAACATATGGTTCGATAATGAAGCGACAGAAATAAATCTGATATATTTGTATTAGTCACAACCCCCAGGAGAATAGACAGGGAGAAGGGAGACGCAAGAAAAGAGAAAAGAGAAAAGAATAAAACATACACCCGGTTCAACAGTGACCACACTCCCCTCTGGCAAATTCCCCCTGACTCTCAAATACCTGAACAATCTATCCTTATCTTCATAATTTGGATGTCCACCAGTATCATGCGTATCCATTCCGAGATAATGACCCAATCCGTGCGGGAAGAACGCTACACTTGTTCTTGCTTTCAAAATCTCTTCTTTATCACCTTTCAAGATTCCTAAGGAGAGAAGTCCCTCGATTGCGACTTTGTGGGCAAGGAGATGTACTTCGTCCCAGGAAACGCCGGCTTTGAGCATGGAGATACATTGCGATTGCATGGAGAGCACTATATCGTAGATGGAGCGAGACTCGGGTGTGAAGTGGCCGTTTATGGGAAAGGTTCTTGTCTGTCAGGATGATTAGTGTATCTGTCAAAACCCTATGAGGAACCTCAATCCAGAGTATAGAAAATAATCTTACAATATCCGAAGCATAACATTGATACTCTCCTCCAGCATCCAAAAGCAAATTCAATTTTCCCTCCAACTCTTCTGAATTCTTCATATAATGTAATGTAGCAGCCGCAGTACCACTAGCCACAATACTGTGATAAGCTTGTTCTCTCGCTCCGTTCGCAATGCTCTCTTTAATGAAAAGCGCCTCTAATTCCCTTTCATTCTTTGCATGTTTAACTGCCTTTAAAACTGCCGTGTGTCCCACTTTTGAAATCTCATTCGCCTTTCTCATCAACGCAACTTCGTATTCTGATTTGCGTACACGAGCTTCTTCGATAGCTTCTTTAAGAAGCGTGAAATCTTTCTGGGGAAATTCAAGGAAGGTTATGTGGGTAGAAATCTGGGGGGCGATAGCCCAGACCTTTGTTTGATTTGGGAGGGCCAGTTGCGCGTTTATGGTATCGGTTGTGAGGACTTCGTCAACGTCATAACGGGCGAGTGCTTCTTCGGGAGAAAGAGGAAGACCAGTCCAGATAACTGATTCCGGGTCGATTGGTGGAATGAAGAGAGTACTTTTGTCTTTTGCGATGTCATAGGTAAAGTAAGCGTCAGGGAGATCGCAGCCGGTGAGATAGTAGAAAAAGCGTCGTTGTCTGGAAACAGAATTGTTAGTATGAGCTGTTTGTGAATTGAGAACATCTTTAATATATGCCGCATTCAATATTTAGCATTTCGCCCAACAACGTACCTGAAAGGAGCAGCCTCATCATTATCCTCAATCATAACCGTCTTCTGCGCCTCCAAATACAAGACTCCCTCTGCCTCCGGCTCCTTACTCTTAATATACTCCACGACCTTCCTCACATGTTCTTTCGCTGGGTACTTCCCCTTCAAAATCGTATCGGTAGATGAAGCCATATTGCGATGAATAATCCTCGGATTGATTCTTGTCTGAGATATATCACCGGTAATTCGAGCTCTACCCAAACCGTATTCTCTCCAGCTTTGAGATATAATTCCCGGTTGGATTGGTATTGAAAATGTCGTTTGAGAAATACTAGCTCTGGAAGAATAAAATTGTACCTGTGCTACCCACGCTATTCTTTGTCGTCTATTCGGACAACGTGGTGTGAATCGCGGGGTATTTGACAAGCGGAACATGGCCATGGCCGTTTGTAAGCGTTGCTGATGAAAATCACAGCTTGCCTCGGTGAGGGGCTAACGGTTGGGCTAAATTTTTGACATTATTACTAGGTAGTTATCGATTTTATGCTTGGCAGTTTTATTCCTCAGAAATCGATGATAAAAAAGGAGTTTACCCATGTGAAGATCTCAAGAGAATGCATATAATGAAAGTAAAAATCGGAATAGACTATTGAATGTATTCCGGATATCATTAAATTCTGGATCTCCAATCATCCAATATCAGTATTTCAAACACATTGACAGTGTACCTGCTGCTAGAAATGAAACTACACTATCAAATTATCGAACAATCCTATTGCCCATTCGCACGATTTGGAGCAATGTATACCATCCAACAATCGTGAACCAAGCCGCACCCATTATCAAACGCTTCCAATGCTGCCTCATATCCATGTTGTAGCGCCTGATCATCTCAACTGTATTCTCTATGGTAACGAGGCCAAATCGTATATGCAATCTGCTTCAGTTCCTTCATCCGGGACCTGTTCCATGCCATCCATATCTTGCTCATGTCTCAGGTTCAGAAGCCGTGTACGTCTTGACTCGGCCACTTTCCTACTTTCCTACTTTCCAACATCGCCTGTATCATATTTAGGCTATGCCTAACGCACATCTAAGCATCCGCCGTTACTTCTAACACTGTCTCTTGTGCAGCCATGCCTGGTCTACCCTTATTTAAGAGTGACATTTTCGGGACGAAATTCACTCCCCCCTGTAAAGACGATAATTCCTTTAGACTTATCGCGTGCTGTAAGAGAGCTTCTTTGCTCGTCTTAAATTCGAAATTTGTAAGGAAACAAAAATTGATTTCCAATTTCGAAAGCTCTTGTTCACTAACTCCTCCGACTTTTGAGAAGCGTGCATGAGCATAGCTTTGATCCTCGAGTGCTTTCATAGCCACACGTAACCCAGCTAATATGAGTCGATGTGAGTTTCGCCTTGTTACAGGTATGGCTCTTTCATCGACTGCCACCCTGTGTATGTAGGAACTTGTTGCAAGATAGACAGCTGTTGACATTGGACAAAATGTGTGTATTCGCATCAGATAGTCTTCCAAAGAGATCGGAGGAGGATGCTTCGAATAAAATTTTCGTGTGATGGCACTGTGTTGAACATTCAAAGGCTCGGCATTCTCTCCAACGATAATATATGGTTCTGCGGGCACGATATGCTGTGTTTCCAGAGGTTTCGGACGAAGATTTACTCCATCTATAACATCTGATCCAGAAGTTCGTTGTCGAAAACCTGCTAAGTTTGTCCATGATCCAGACCGTCGTATATTTTCTTTCTCTGCCTGCATTCCCCTCATATTTGGCATCGTCGTTTCGGCCGACGCTGGCATGGGAGGAATATCTCCCGTAAATTGAACTAGAGCTTCGATACCAGCACATAACAATTTAAGTGCTGTTATCGGCGAAAGAGTAAATATATCGATGCTACTTGGAGATGGTGGTGAAACTCCACGATCATTTGCACAAGGGTCAACCGTCAGACCTGCATCGGATGAAGGATTCGGTGGTGGTGGTAGTTCGTGGTCAGTATGGTCATCTGAACCGTGGTTCGAATTCACGAAAGCCGTCGAGTCAGATCCATCTGTAGGTAAGGGAGACATAGTTCCGGATTTACTGTCTGTGAAACTAAATCTCTGTATCCGACAGTAAAAAATCTAAACCTTTCGATTTTTGTTATCTCTCTCCACCAAGTATCCAAATGAACGTGGATGATGAGATCAAGAATTCAGAAGACGCCGGGGCCAGGGAGGCTTAATGGATGCTTGGAGGAGCTCCAAGAAGCGCATGTTCTCGGTGACAGACGATATGCAAAATTTGTTGTTGGAAGGCGAGATTGGGTTGTGTATGGAGGAATTGATGGTCTTATATTTGAGTGGAGTGGGAGTGGATTCGGTTTATAGTTGGTTTATAGGGTTTTTGGGAATTTCCCTCGGCGCTAATAAGAGAAATGAACAGAGGTGCAAAAGGTATTAGTACAGCAGAGGAATGGGTGGGTAGGTATAGAAAGTGACAAGGAAGGTTACACAAGCATGTGCATTGTGCATTGTGCGGACAACATCAACTGATCGATCCCCTTGTCTCTCCTGGAATTGTCTTTGAACTGAATTAAAATGAGGAGCATGGGATTATGCGTCGACAGGAGGTGGCATCCGTAACATTAGCAGCATTCAGCCTGATTGTGGTACGTACGGAGAGCACTGTATCCAATGCCTAAGAGCAAAGTACCCGAAGAGAAAATATACTCCTCTCCAAGTCTCAACAAGGACATCCGTCCACCAATCCTCAAGCTAGTTGATAGTGACTGGTGACTAGCGACTAGATATCGACACAGTGGAACTAATTGCAATGAGCCGACGCTTACGATAGAGGCATCGAGCGGCCACTCCACTACCCACTGATAAGAACCAAGAGGTCGGACGGAAAAAGAAGAAAAGGAAAAAAACTACAAGGAGCACGTGGATCAACACCAGGGTAAAAGAACCTCGGGGAAGACCAAATCTAGCAACGGGGCTTATACATTGCGCGCACGCCACGCAGTTGGTGAAGAGACCTAGGTACCTAGTTACTAGGTAGGTAGGTAGCTCATCTGCAGAATCAGATCAAGTACATACGGAGTCTAATGAATTCCAGATCAACTTCCAACTTCCAACTTTCCTTCAACCAATAATCACATCTCACATCAATCCATCGCAGGATCTGGAATAAATACTACCGTGTGGTGGAGATGGTCAGATATCTACCTAGCATCTTATTATATAAGGGGTTTACGAGGCGAGAGCCACGATAATGGCTCGATACGAATCCCTAACCATCCTTACTAAATCTGGATGAATGGAAAGACCACGAGACTCTCAAAATTTGACATTGGGAGATTATTCAGTTACAGAATGACAAATAGAGTAAAGTGCGACATTCAGGATAATGGCTTAAGCGCACCCGTCAGGTAATAGTAGGAAGGAGGCTTAGATTGAGTTGTTAATTTATGAACTAGATACCCAGATACCTAGATACTCAGATATCTAGATACCCAGATGCACTTCTTAATTTACTCTACCTCTTCGTGAAATTGGCTCATATTGGGCATGCTGCATTTAGGACATATAGCATTCTATGGATGTTGTATCCGACTAGTAAAGTAAACATTGGCAAGCATTTCCCCGCATCTAGACATTCCTATCAGACCCTCCGCGCTAGGATTATTATCGGAATCACCTCTCCGCTATCCCCTGAGATTATACCAATATGCAGACATCTTGCAGATAGTGCTTAACGACCCTGGCGCACAGTACCAAGTCATGGCTAGACTGGGTAAATTCTTGATTCGTTGGGTATACACGGTATTCATTTAAACTAAAACCTCGAATACCAATTCGAGTGTACGCCAAACTCCTTTTCACATGTTCATTTGATGCCCTGTTTATATATCATTCATTGCCTTTCTAATGATTCAATCCTTCCATCTAGCCAAGAATCTTGCCATATCATCTGTAGGCATTGATGCCGCAGCAACCTTTCATGTGTTAGCCACGTCAAGTTTGGATTGTTGCGTTTGTGTCTTAAACTTACCGTATTAGGATGACTTGCAAAGGAAGCTGTTTGAGCTTGAGTCAAAGTTGTGTAAATGGTTGCTGGGCTTAAATGCGTGGTGGCTAGAACAACATCCGATTTTGAATATTGAGGTTCTGTGTTCGTGGCCGTTATTGTGGTACCAGGCATCAGACCCATTGGGGCATATCTTGTAAGACCAGTTTGTGATTGGAATGGAATTCCATAAACACCCTCGTCCGCAGTTCCTGATGATGATGCGACTGCCGTGTCTGCCACATTATTGACAGTTGCTGGTCCAGCAGTGCCAGTGATTGTGTACACGGCTACAAAAGTCCCCGTCATGCCGCTAATAGAGAACCTATTCGAATATACTATAACATTCCCTGACGCTGTGGTTGCTATCATTCTCATGAAGCTGTATCATCATCATCAGCGTCAAGGCTTCTTAAACTCTGACTTCATAAAACTTACTAGGCATTGGTCACCGATGACCCCCTAGCCGCTGGTACAGTAACACTAGTCGAAACAGTTGACCCCAAGGTAGCGGAAGCAGTTACGGAGTATATCACTTCGAGATCCGCAGCCGAACTACCTGCGCAGACATCTAGTTGATAGGTGGTAATATCAGCTATCGCTGGAGCATCTCCGTTATCTGCCCACGTAACAGTAAATGGAGTTGCAGCTGTTTCTACCGCTGCGGCTGCGGGTGCTGAGAATGTCGGATATGCAATTGCGAATGGAGCATATGCCAGAAGGACTAAAGCTTGGGAGAAGCGCATGATGAATATTATTCGTTCGCGCTCGCAGATTGAATATCAGTGTTGATTATTGATCTTCGTATAATTTCTGTTTGGCAGGGCGAGTTCAATGGTCCTTATCGAGTCGTACGTGGTTAAAATTAATTGATAAATGTTAAACTTCCAAATACATTCAAGATTCCAAACACAGAGAGAACAAGGCGGAAATGTAACTTTGAACTTTTGGCCTTAGGCGGTGAAGGGGGTTGCATCTCAACGTTCACGGTGTTTGAAGTTCTATAATTAGCATGTGAAAGTTTCGACAGATTCTGTGCTATTGGATACAATTTGGATTGATATCAGGCAAATGCCATTCGGACAATATTACAATGCCCTTTCCTAAGTAACATGAAATAAAATACCTGTATGCAATTTCTCCAAAATCATAGCAAATCGTGATAAATGTACCAGTACGTACGAGTAGGTATCATTTTGTAAGTTTTAAGCCTTATAAGGTAAAGGTTACTCTTCAGTCTCCACGGCTACTTGCGGTCAAATTTTGCCACGAATTTTACCTCCCTAGTACCTTATCGCTTATCCAGACCAAAGACCCCTCCCCTTCACTAAAACTCGAAGGGTAACTCAATGAAGAATTTCATTGTCAAGCTTTTACTCAGACATTCTACAGCAAATTCTCCTTCCACGTTGCGACATTAATCACCAATACTAAAGAGAATAGTCATTTATTTACTTCTTCTCTTTCATCGCCATCGTTCCCTTTCTTTCTTTCTTTCATCAATCCTGTTTCTATTCGGAATCATCTACGAATCGTTAAATTTCAGCTCAAACATCTAGAACCGTCATCAACATGGCATCCATTACTAGTCCTGTGCGGGCTCCAGTCCTTGCAATGAGTGCTTCCGAGTTGATTGGAAATACTCCTTTGGTACGATTAAATAAGATTCCACAGAGTTTGGGTATCGAAGCCGAAGTTTATGCCAAGGTCGAACTCTTCAACGCTGGCGGAAGTATCAAGGATCGTATTGCCCTTCGCATGATCGAGGAGGCGGAAAGGTCTGGAAGAATAAAGCCCGGAGACACTCTCATTGAGCCCACCAGTGGAAACACGTAAGTTGTTCTATACCACTTTGGCATTAATCTCTAATCATTCTCTAGCGGTATTGGTCTCGCTCTTGTTGGAGCTATCAAAGGTTACAAGACAATCATTACTCTTCCCGAAAAGATGTCACCCGAAAAGGTCGCTGTTCTACGAGCACTTGGAGCCACTATTATCCGTACCCCAACTCAAGCAGCTTGGGACGCCCCCGAGTCCCACATCGGAGTGGCAAGACGATTGTTGAAAGAGATTCCAAACTCTCACATCCTCGATCAATATGCCAACGAGAACAACCCCAACGCACACGAATTTGGAACTGCAGAAGAAATCTGGAAGCAAACTGATGGCAAGATCACTGCTGTTGTCGCAGGAGCTGGTACAGGTGGAACTATTACTGGATTATCTAAAGGTTTAAAGAAACACAACAAAGATGTCAAGATCATTGCAGCAGATCCCCATGGATCCATACTTGCAGTTCCAGAGAGTCTCAATCAAGAACACGCCAACGAATCATACAAGGTTGAGGGAATTGGTTATGATTTCATTCCTGATGTTTTGGATAGAGATTCTGTCGATGTGTGGTACAAGACAGATGATCGTGAATCATTTGCCTACGCACGTAGACTAATTGCCGAAGAAGGACTCTTGGTAGGAGGTAGTAGTGGTAGTGCTATTGCAGCCATGGTAAAGGGAGTCCGTGATTTGGGACTTGGTAAAGGTGATACCGTGGTAGTCATCCTACCAGATAGTATCAGAAGTTATCTCAGCAAGTTTGCCGATGACGACTGGTTGGCCGCCAACGACCTCCTTCCTCCTACCCCAGAATCTTCTTTGCCAGCATCCCCGGTCGTCAAAGCTCAATCCAAGAAAGATCCATACTCTGGAGCGACTCTTCGATCCCTTCGCCTCAAACCAGTCACATCCGTCCTCGCCAACTCCTCTTGTTCTGAAGCCGTCGAAACCATGCGTGAAAAGGGTTTTGATCAACTCCCTGTCCTCGCTCCAAAGGGCGATAAACTCGTCGGTCTTGTCACCCTTGGAAATCTTCTCAGTTGGATCAGTCGCGGTCGTGCTACCGGAAAAAGCCCAGTTTCAGATGTCATGTTTGATTTCTCCCACATCCCTGAAGTTATCACCGATCCCAAGGATATCAGTCATCTTTCTTCGCCTCCTAAGAGCAATGGTATCGAAACGACAAAGGATGGCAAGAAGCAAACCACTCCAAAGCGCAAATTCGTAGAGATCACACTCGATACTCCTCTTTCCGCCTTGAGCAAATTTTTCGAATGGAATAGCGCCGCGATTGTTACCGAGAAGGGAAGTGAGACTGATGGATTGTCGAAACCAGTCGCAGTTGTCACCAAGGTTGATTTGTTGAGCTGGATGGTTAAGCAAACGAAACTTTAATGGACCAGGTGCATCGTGTCGGGGTTGGAAAAGGCGTTTTGGAGCAGTTTTGCATGCACTGCGATATTGTTTTTGGGTTTCAACACCTATTGAGATGGTACAGAGCTCCTGCATTTACGGTGGGCTATTGGAGAATTGAGCATTAAAAATAAAAGACATAGATATAGTAGTCAGAAGATGTAGAGCTTCTCAAGAAAAGATACCCGCTTCATCAGCAAACATAACCTCTCCATACTATCCATGCCAGTCATGAAATGATCACCATTCACATGTGAGAGCGATTGAGAAGCCTGAGAAACGTCATCGTTTGTTTAATCATACAATTTATAATTCGTTCATGTCTCTGACAGGTTTAAGCCTACCCAGGCACACGCGCGCGAACGAACGAACTCATCTAAAAACCTAAAAAGCCCAACGGCTTTTGACCAAACCTTTTCGTAAGTATTATGGGTTGGTCTGAATATATGCCACGGTAAATGAAAATTGATCTCCGCCCACCCTCAGTATGCATCATTTTTTGATCAAGTAAAAAACGAGAAGCGTGTAAGCAATTACCCTCAACGCCATGCATCCGTCCAATCTACCACTCCAGATTGGAGATTTGAAAATAGCTCAAATACCCACCCCTATTGTATGCCTATCTATGCTTGGTCTGTTGATCCAATCATGTATGCAGGCATTTTATGTAATGTAAGAATCCACATCCCTTGCCTTCCCATTCCCTTCCCGGCCCCTTTTTTCTAGAGTCTAAGCGATCAAACGTCTTCAAACTCCATATCCTCTTCACTCTCCTCTTCATCTTTTATAGCCGGTGCTGCTGGAGCAGGCTCTTCAATTCTAACTCTCTTCGTTGGTCTATCCTCATTCGGTGTATTAGGTCCTGTTACCGGACTTCCTGCGCCTGTGCTCGTTCCACTTGCTGAAACACTTTCATTTCGTGAATGCTTTAGAACACCACTGAGACCACTACCACTCGTTACACTGGGCTTAGTTTCTGTGCCTCCGACCGAGCTAGCTGGAGTGGCGGCACCAGATGTGGTGCCATTTGGAATGACGTCTTCGAAGCCTTCTTCTTCTTCTTCGTCGGTTTCATACTCTTCGTCGGCCTCTTGTTCGAGTTCTTTAGCTTGTGCAGCCTTTAGTTGCGCAAAATAATCATCAATTTCAGCCCCTTCACCAGTACCGTCGGTATCAGGTTTGATATCCTTCTTGTTGGTGTCAACTGCAGGGCCAATAGAGGCCGTAGGTTGGTTGCCAAACTTGACCTGCTCTCCAGTGATAGTACTGTGAGTGAAATGCTGAGGTAACGCATTTTGAGCAGCCGTTTTCTCTTTGCGAGCTTGTTCAGCAGCGATGTCCGCAGCTGTAGGTCCTTCTCCGTTCGTCAAAGTAACTGAGATGGACGTCGGTCCAGTATTATCCAGACCACGAACAGCAGTTGGTCGCTCCGAAGAGAGAGCGACGGGTGCAGTTTCACTGCCAGGATTAGCTTCATCTCGAACCACTTTACGAGCCGTTGAGAGAGCTTGTTCGAAGGTGTTTGCAGGGATGACCACCTTATCGATTTTTGGGAGTAAGTCGGTGATGAATTTAAACTGTGCATTGAGTTTCGATGACTGTTCATGTCCACCACGGTTATTGTCAGGGTCGTGTACCAGAAGGTAATCGCATTTGTGACATAAAAAGCCTTCATAATTTCTCTTGTCCAAAACCTCGAAGGTTGTCCATTCTGATTTGCATCGAGGGCAAAAGTATTCCTTTCTCTCATCATCTGGCACAGTATTTCCTTGAACAGCCTTGTCTATTTGGTAGACTCTCCATTTAATCGCATCGATTGTTGCGCGATAATCGATAAAATAGTAAGTTCGATTGATTGGTCGTTGTTGGCCTTCTTTGATCTCTGGGCGGGAATGCCTACACAATCCAATTAGCAAAAGCCAAAATGCAGAATAAACTATCTGCCATACACTGCAAGAAATCGATCCTCCTTCAACTTTCCACAAAGCTTGTGAAGCTCCTTCGTATTTATGCTCATCAGGTATGCTAAATCATCATCGCGCAAGCTAAGAAATGTCAGCTTTCCTTTCCCAAACTCTCAGAAAGTCTCACAGAAATACATACGCGGAGTGAATGACGAGCGCATCAATCACAAGGATATGTTTTGTGTCATAGAACGAGCGCATACAAGAGCGCACCAACATCTGGGCGAGATCCATATTTGCGAATGGATAATCAAGAAATTGGGAATAGAAGATGAGATCTAGGTCTGGTATTTGGGAAAGAGGGGATGCGGGGCCCTGAGGGTCTGTGAGTTTCTCAAAAAGAGGTAGAATATGTTTTTGAAAGATGGGTTTTGTAAAGTCGTTAGAGATAGAATCGAAAAAGAAGACAAAGAGATATTTTAATAAATGGTGTCCAGGCTGCGCATTATCGTTTTGTATCCTCAAGACAATAAAGTAGAAGACATGAACAGGATGAGATTAATCCTCTATTAGTGCCTGTTGAGGGTGGGTGGTATGGTCGTTGTATTGTAAGTATTGCTCACGATGGCAGGGAGTTGATAGAATAAAAATTTGATATGATTGATATTTGCAGGAGATAAAGTGAATGGATGGATTTTGATGACTTCAATTGGCAAGGCTGAATGAGATGAGGTAGAGCTGCAGTAGTGGGTTTTTTTTTAATTATGTAAGCTACCACTTAACCATATCAAGTTACAGGCCACGTGCAGGGCTAGTTGTTTTAAGTTCACAATTATTGGCTGAAGCTCGGACCAGGATACTAAAAATTATTGGGAGAAATATTCATGGACCATGTTGAATTTCTGATTCATCAGGTTGTTTTGTTTTCAACTCCACGCATGTGATATATGCGCATCCTTCGATTATTGAAAAATACGTTCGCATACATCTCTGAAGTTCGAATAACTACATCAATCATGGAGGCGAACGCACAATCCGGAGGTCAACGAGGTGGAGGAGGACGAGGGCGGGGGCGGGGAGGTTTTGGCAGAGGCGGCAGAGGGAATTCTAGAGGTGGTTCCAGAGGTGGTAGAAAGCCAGAGATGGGTCGCAAGGAGTATCAGTTAGTCGGGATTCTTAAACTTCCAATTCATTCTCTCTAACTTTATTTAGTCGACAAGAACCAAAGAGAGATCGAAACGACGACGACCAAGCATCGAAACGCAGAAAGACGGTACACAATGGAGAATCAGAGCCAACAGCATTTAGTACGGAGTTCACCAAGGAGGAAATCGAAAGTGAAGTACGAAAACCAAAACATAAAGTCGCTGTCATGATTGGCTATGCAGGAACAGGATACAAAGGCTTGCAAATTAACACCAAGGAGAAGACGATTGAGGGTGATATGTTCAAGGCTTTTGTTGCCGCCGGTGCGATTTCGAAAGCCAATGCAAATGATCCCAAAAAGTCCGCCTTGATTCGATGCGCGCGAACTGATAAAGGCGTCCATGCAGCTGGCAACGTTCTCTCCTTGAAACTCATCATCGAAGACCCGAAAGTTGTTGAAAACATCAATTCCCATCTACCAGATCAAATTCGAGTCTGGGGTATCGAAAGAACTACTGGATCTTTCAATTGCTACCAAATGTGCGACTCGCGGTGGTACGAATACTTAATCCCAACCTACTCCTTCATCCCACCTCATCCTAAGAGTTTCCTTGGAAAGGAGTTGCTTCAGGCCGCTGAGAAAGAGGGCGTTTTGGAGAACTATAATAAACTTCAGGAAGATGCTATATCGTTTTGGGCCGACGCCGAGAAGGAATTTGTACAACCCATTCTGGATAATTTGGACCCCCAATTAGCAGCGGATGTTATGGAAGCTATTCATGCTGCTGAGGAATCCAACGAGCCAATCGGAAAGAACATCAAAAAGAACAGAGCAGAAGCCAAGGAGGACTCTGAAATCAAGGAAGAAGTCAATGACCAGACTCAAGAAAAACCTGCAACAAAGACTGCAGCGGAAACTGGTGACGGATCAGTACTTGAAGAACCCGTAGCAGTTGAAATTACAGGAGAGACGAAGACGGAAGACTCAGAAGCCATGCAAGGCGTCGAAACCACTGGAGAACCAAAAACAAAGGATGAAGCTAATCAAGATGAAGGAGTTAAGCTAGAAGCAGATGGTGCTCAAGAAATCTCGAAATCAATTCTCACGCCACTGGAGAAAGCTGTCAAAGAAGTAAAAGCAGCCTACATCAAAGCCAAGAAGGCGTATCGCATACACGAATCTCGTAGAGAACGAGTACAAGAAGCTCTCAACCAATATGTCGGCACTCATAATTATCACAACTATACCATCCTCAAAAGCTTTAAAGATGCCTCTTCTAAAAGACACATCAAATCTTTCAAGATTGGAGCCCAACCTATCATCATTCACGATACAGAATGGCTTTCGCTAAAAGTTCATGGTCAATCATTCATGATGCATCAAATTCGAAAAATGGTAGCCATGGCAGCATTAGTGGTACGATGCGCTTCACCAATGGAGCTCATCAAGGAAACTTATACTGCTGCTAAAATTAGTATACCAAAAGCCCCGAGTCTGGGTTTACTGTTAGAAGCCCCAGTTTTTCACAATTATAATGAGAAAATTGCGAAGGATTTTGACAGGGAGAAGATAGACTTTGAGAAGTATAGAGAGAAAATGGATGAGTTTAAGCAGAGAGAGATCTATGATAGAATTTTCAGAGTGGAGAATGCTGAAAATCAGTAAGTCTACTATGATGGCCTTCAGAATGTGAAGAGCAGACTAACAAAATCATAGATTTCATACATTCTTCCATCATTTAGATCATCATCGAAGCGATTACTTCTTATGGCTGACAGCGTCAGGCATTTCTGCTGGAAGACAGCGTGGTGCAGGAAAGGATCTCCTAGATGCTAGTGATGATGAGGCTGACGTCAATGGTGAGGAAGGTTGATTGCTATTTGGTTTGGGAGAAATGGATGGAAATTGCAGAGGATACCTCTTAACATTACAAAAGCTCCAGATATTGGACGCAGATCTCAATACTAACCGCGTGGTGCGAATTGTACAACAGGAAGACAGAACAAAAGAATGCTGGCTAGTCGAATGCTAGCTTGTCGGCAGAATCTGGAATTGTCAATAGATCCCAATACAGTACAAGAAGCAAGCTTGACTTGCTCTTACACATGAAGGATTATCGGTTCATTTCATTTCCTTTCTTGATTTATATCTTTACATCGTCTATTTCTCATTCATAATGTTGCTCTATCCCATGTATCTTCCTCTCAGAATCGCTCCAATGACCCAATCCTCAATCGGCTCAAAATCACGCTCTGAACATGATCTGTCAAATATTGCCAACCCCATCTAAAATCCGTCGTTCTCTCACATTTATCCACTGCAACTGGCCTTCCTCGTCAAATCAAAAATAACTTCTCCATCTCGCCCCTTTACTTTGTAATATCGGAGTTCTACCACCATCCCATCCATCCTATATCAAAACACGAACAACGAAGTCCCGTATCAATCTCCATGAAGACGTGCAGTCTATTTCCCTAGATAATCCTGCAATCTCCATACATCATATCGTATTATCTCCTCTCATACGCGTCCACATCGACTGTCTGTCTCAAGTCTCAGGTCCTCCTAATAAACAGCTGTTCGAATTGATCCTTACACTGAATCATCCATACACAAAATTAGTATTCATTCCTTTAGTTCCAGAGACACATCCCTATACCCAACTCTCACATCCAAATGGCGATCTCACACAAAACTAAAATCAAAATAGCAGAAGAGAAAGGAAGAGAAAAACTCACATTTCTCCCACACCAAACCCTCCTCGGTAACTTCACAACCCGTCTCATCACCACATATTCCCCCTCTCTATCCTCTTCCCTCTCCACATTCATTTCCGACACATGTCTCTTTCCCATAACTTCAATTTCCATCCCGTCAAAATTATGATTCTGATTCACACTCAGACTCCCACCCACGTTTCCATTCGCATCCATCTCCGCATACGCAAACCGACTCGTCGACCTCCTTTTCGTCGGAAAATCTCTAATCTTCTCCTGGGGATTCAAAACCCTACTTGCTTTCTTGCGCAGTTTCTTAGGAGCCGCTTTCTCAACTGTAGAAGGGAGCGGGGAAATCTTCGGATGTTCTTTCGTTTCCTTGAGCACGGGATCGTACACCAGAAAATGCACCACGATTTTTCGTACGCCGCGCGGTATAACCATGATTTGCATGCGTGTGCCTTCGAGGAGCGGGGGATTGTTTTCGGGGGTTTCGATAAAGCCTTTGCGTAGGATTTGAGGGGGGAGGAGTGTGCTCCGCGGGAGGTAGTGGAAGGATGGGGGAGAGAGGGTGTAGAGGACTTCGAGGGGATTGTTTTTGTAGGTGTGGTTGTAGTTGTGTTGGTCATTGAGGGGTGGGAAACGCTGGGTGGAGAAACGGTTGGAGGGCGTGGTGGCGAGTTGGGGAAGTGGAGAGGGAGAGGTGAGGTGGAGGGAGAGGGATAGTTTGATGAGGAGAGTGTGGAGGTTTGTGTGTAGTGTTACGAGATTGGAATGGGCGGAGGCGTTGGCTGCCATTTTGCAGTTGGAGTTTTGTGGAGTGTATTCGCGGTGTAGATGTGATATTAACGGAGTCTGTAAGATTTTGGATAGATCGTTGGGTCTGGTCCGTTTGATGTGAAAACTCGCAATTAGAGCCACTTGCTCTGCAATATCGATGCTGAAAATAAAGTAGGTAGGTGGATTTGTTTGCGTTATTCGTTGTTCGCTCCGTACAAGTGACTTGAAATACTGGAGATTGAATCCTTTTGGGATAATCGATCAAGGCTTTTGTGTATGTAGATAGGACTGTTTTGAAAATCGAGCTCTGCTCAGTTTATATTGGAAATAAAACGAAACCCGAGAAAAATTACCAGCAGATTTCCGAAAGGTGAATGAAATCACAAGCAAAAGAATCGGAAGATTTTCGCCGTAGAATTCTGAGAACCTCAAGATGATCACTTCATCTAGAAAATTTGTTTATCTGTCGTATCTGATTTCCTACAACAGTGGTAACCTTTTAAGGTTGAGTCAAAATGGATTATACTAAATCCACATGTACCGATTCATTCACTCCATTTCGGTTGTGCTTTATATACATACCAGTGACAAACCAAACACGCACGTTATTTCTGATTCACTCTTCTCTCCTCATCTTCATCTAATGGTTCTCCCATAACTCCAAATATTCAATCCCACTTTCGAGCCCTTTTCTACTGGTAGACCAGCATGCCATGTTTCCTCATATCCCCTTCCGTTCCTATCAGTATTTTCCCAGAATACAGCATTTCCCTTGATGGGTTTGAATATCACTCCTTCTACTGTTACATTTTTACTACTTCTTGGATCTAACGCTTCGGTAGTATCGAGGAATTCCTCCCACCTTCCTCCTTTGGGTCCCACGATACGTGGGAATTCTGTTCCTCCACCTTCGATATCAGAGGATACATCGACGTAGACCATAAAAGTACTTATCCGGTCTATGCCGCGTTTACCTCCGCTCCAATCGCTATTTCTATCATTAGCCTTCACGTACACAATACCTCTTCAGAAAGCTCCATGTTGATAGAAAAGAAAACGAAGCCTCCATTAGTCCCTCAAGACTTACAAATGCATCCCATAATGACCCCCAACCCCATACCTCTGCGTCCTCAACTTCTCAATGCCCATCTCACCCCTCCATCCCTGAAATGCTCTCGCTCTATGCTCAATACACCTAACCACCTCATCTCTCTCTAGCACTGCTACTTCAGAATTTCGCACCGAGGTATCAATCATAACTTCCTGACCATGAGAAACCGTAGACGGTTTATAGAGCGGTTCACTACCCCATCAGTTTCTCTTCATTTCATTGGAAAAAATATAAAAAAACATACCTAACATCCACCAAATGTTTACTCTCATTCGCCTTCAAAAATCCCTCGATGTATATCATAAGTGGTTCTCGACTAATGATAAACGTTTTATAACTATCTTCCGGACAAAATAGGGGTTCATCACTTGCGATAAGTGAAGAGTTCAAATTGAGAGGTTCATGAAGAGCAGATTGGCGACCGTAGATGATTTGAGAAAGAGGTCCCCATACTAGCACATAAAGAGGTATCAGTGCGAAAGCGTAGAGAAGCATGGTGATGAAATGTGATGTTTAGATACACACATGTCGGATTTGGCGGGAGAAAGAAAAGGAGGTGAGGTTTGGGAATTTGTGGAGATGATCACGTGCAGGGTACGTAATATTTGGGAGCTGAAGATGAACAACGACAGTCGCCATTCATTGGTATTTTTATTGCCTTTGCATCTTCATTTGCTTGTGTTGCTGAATCTGATTCATTAATTATGAAGAAGGGTTATGGGATTAGAAACAGGTGGCACTGAAAGTAAAGACAAATAACCTCAAGAAAGTTCTTGAAGCGATCTGTCATCCAGGACCCGGTACTAGTCAAGGCCTAGCTATAGACAACACAAGGAAATCATTGTGATTCTTAAATGAAGCTTCAGATATACAAGAAAGAGTTCAATCATTCAAGCAACCAGCCATCCTAGAAGAACGATGTTCTTTCAAAAGTTGAAAGCTTGGATTGGTCTACTAGTCCCGCTTCTTGATATCACATCATCATGTATAGACTAGAAACTATACCTTCAATTCTAGTCTCCAACTTCCAACCTGCGAAATCAAGATATCTTTCTGATTCGAAGCCCATTTTTCATTCTATATTCTTCAAGTGTCCTCTCTTGAGCTTCATAGGTGCTGCGATATTACTCTTATCATATAGATACAACATAATCATCGCTGGCACATCTCAACCCCCACCGCATCATTCTTGCAAGTAATCAACTTTAATTTGAAGCTAATATCAGAACCATGACCAACTTCGCTTGAAATTGCTCATCGGTATTTACTAGAGAAACATAGTGAGATCATCTGATCAAACTACCACTAGCCAATACCCTAAGCCCACACAACCACTCATTTAAATTGAATTGTCCAGACCTTTTCAATTCTCCGAATCTGCATCCATTTCATCAAGTTCCGTCACCGTTCAATCTCCTGTCAATCTCCCAATCCCATACTATCTACCACAAGCCCACAAGTTCCTAAGCCGTTCAACCACACACTCATCCATCAATCCATCCCTCAAACATGGCGTTCTCCCCCCCTCAGCATCTTCGCCATCACATTCTCAAGCTTTCTCCTCGGCGCTTTCCTATCCTACTTAATCTGCGATTTTAAAGAGGATCAACACCGGAACAATTACATTTGTCAACGGCACAACGACAACAATGAATACGTCTGCGATCTGAGACGGGCATTTTATTGGTCCCGCCATGCCCTTTGGAAGCATGAATCTTGGGCCAGAGCAGGAGAACAAAGCAGGAAATGGTTGATAGATGAGATTATGAATCTGAATCTGCAGGCAACCATCACGGAAAAGACGACTATGCCGAGTGATTGCTGTAGAGATAGGATGGCGCGGGTATGGTGGGAAGATCTTGAAAGTCAGGGTAGTGAGTATAGAAAGAGGGTAGAGGCGGGAGAAGATCCGTTCCAAGTTATGAAAGATCTGGATTCTGCAACTTGGAAACTATTTTGAGGCTTAGGCAATTACAAAGCGGAGCGGATACGAGAGAGCGGATGGTGGAGCTGTGCGTGAAGAGTATAAAGAAAGATCCTACTAGTATCCTTTTTATGGTCCTTCAACGGAAGACTCGAATCATGCATGGCCTAATCAATCAGACTGCAGTCGTGGCATCGAACTGAAAATTTAATTACTTATCATGCTGTCGGGATGTCGGTCATGTGATCATAGAGGGAACTGTGTTAGCTAGCGCTTCCTTATATGAAGTACTAGCTTCCCATAGATAATAATGATCAAGAACGAACACAACCATGATGGACGAAAGTAGGTACTTTACACTTATCAACCAAGTTGATACCAACACATGCTCATTTACCACACATATATATTCCTCATTTCCTACATACAACATCACCGGCTAACATTTAGAATTTTCAACTAGTCACTTGAATTCATGTGAAATTATGTATAACATGAATGGCGCAAGCCCTGTTTATATCGTCTTTATTACCGCCACCACGCTCTGGTATATCTCTAATCTCCTGGGCGCCCACGCTTATAACCAAGAAGGATTTATACCCCTAGGAATATAACATTCAGAAGTGGTAAAATAAATCCTATATGCAACGAGTACCGTTTCCCGAAGCAAATCTTCATTTAATCTCATCTCATCTCATCCCTCAAGTTTCATTGTACGCTAAAGATTACGTCAACACTGCAAGTTTGCTTTTTGGGAGTTTTATGTAAGTGCCTACCTGGGTAAACAGTGGCTCTGTCGCCCACCGGGCCACCGCACCAAGAACGAGAGCAACCTGAAAGTACCTGTCCAGTGTTCTACACATTGTCAGACGTCGTTCTACAAATCTGGTTATAGGAGAATCAAACATACTTCCGACCAAAAAATATCCCATGGATGCAACCAAAAAGAAGACCAAAAGGAATCCAAAAAACCCTCAAACGGGGAAGGACGAATCGTACCAAAAATCGGGCCAGCACGCGCCAGCTGCGGCGGGACCATAAAATCATGAGGCCCATGGCCAGGCCAACGACCGGTGCTCTTTCGACTATTACCGGTATCAGGGGGGCGAGGCGGAATCCCGGGCGCGCGGGGCGGGGAAACAGCTCTGAACTGTCTAAATCAGGACTGACATAGCTATGGCGAGCACGAAGCCGGGAGCAGGAGCAGGGGCTGAAGTATTCGAGGGGGCAATAGCGGTAATTGATGGAGAGATTGATGGAAAGAAGACCGGAGAGAAGGTTGTAGTATTGGAGCCAAGACAGCGACGTTAAGTCACTCTCGACTTCCAAGCAACTAGTTCATACCATTCTTGCAAAGAGAGGGACAGGACGTCGAGCCCAGAGTACAGCAGCCATAGCGCTTTTAGACCGAGGACAGAAGATGCTGTGCGCGAAGCAAGAAGACAGAAGGAGTGTCCTGGACGGCGGAGCTCTCACCTCCTTCTTCCAATATCAGCACATGTGTGATTTGCACTCCAGTGCATCCATACGAGTTCCCAAATTCCTTCCAAAGTCTCAAAAAAGGGTTCAGGATCAGATCGATAACTGAGTTGTTTATCCATTTCAAAGATGAGTTGCTCTTCCTTCGGCTTCTATATCTGCGAGTTTGTGATATATCAGTTGTTAAAGTAGAAATTTCATCCCAAATCTTGAGATTGTTTTGAAGAATGAAAAAGTAGAAAAGTAGTAGATCATAAAAGAGATTTCAGTCCATCGACCTTCTCAAGGCCACAGAAATCTGTTCAAAAATGAGAACCAATTGAGGAGGTGAATAAAGTGAAATGGTATAATTGAATAGACGGACGTTAAGAACTCATTTTTCCATCTTGATATTGGTAGATATTCCGATGGGTTCTCGATATGCAAATTGACAAAAAACAAAAACATACAACAGTGGGGATTCGCTGGTGGTCACCCACCCAACTACTAATCCACCGATCTGAAGCTTGTGTATGGCAGAGCGGACGGGATGCCCAATTCTCTTCAGTCTATGGTCGTATGTGACAGAGGATGCTTTTTTTGAGGATATATTCACTACAAAATGAAAATATCAGTTTTGATACTAATCTGATGAGTTGGTGATACTGACGAGAATGCTTGTGATGTTGTTGATATTGTTGATATTGTTGATATTGTTGATATTGTTGATATTGTTGATATTGTTGATATTGTTGATATTGTTGATATTGTTGATATTGTTGATATTGTTGATATTGTTGATATTGTTGATATTGTTGATATTGTTGATATTGTTGATATTGTTGATATTGTTGATATTGTTGATATTGTTGATATTGTTGATATTGTTGATATTGTTGATATTATTGATGCCATTAATATCCTCAATATCCTCAATCTCCTCAATCTCATTAACACCATAGAAATCAACAAACCCTATCAAAAAAAGACCGAACAAAGCAAAACAAAAGAAACAACCCCCAAACTACACAACATCCTAGAAATACCATCTCGCGCACAAGCGACAACAGTCTTTCCCAGGAACCATCTTCAGAAAGCCATACCCAGTATGTTGATCAACCTCAAAAGTGAGTCGCTCAAATAATGAAAACGTTTGGAACATTGGACGAATCTCGATTATTGAAATTACTCTGAAGATTGAAAGTATCGTAATTGTTGAATTGGATTTGACAATTGAAGGGTGTTCGATTGATGAACACTCTTGAGACAAGAGCAGGACTAACTTTAAACATGTGATTTCCTTTCATGATATCTGCTCCTTCCATTTTACCATACTCGTTTGTTCGTACCTTCCTATTTCATCTTTTAATTCTCTCCTAAGAATTCCAATACCAAGGTGTTAAACTTATCTGGGTCCTCCCAATAGCACCAATGACCACCCCAATCAACCACTACACCTCGTGCCTTCCCTTTTTTAATCTCTCCATCAGCTTCCACTCCACCATTTACAAACTCCGCAATCTTCATGACTCCTTCTGCAGGAAAACATCCGCTCCTACTACTACCCACAACTAAAACCTTCGTCTCACTTCCACTTTCCGGTCCGAAACAAGCACGAATACTATCTCTCCAATCTTTCGATGTATGATCCTCCATAAGTTTCCCCAACCATCTTCCATTTCCCTTAAGTGCCTCTCGTAAGAAAAAAGCCTCATCACTATCCATTTCCTCCTGGGTCCTAACTCCTTTCTCCGATTCAATCGGTGCATATCGATATCCCAAACAAGCAGCAATCGTTCCACGATGCGCAATTTCCGGCGCCAACTCCAACGTTTTCTGAAGCGAAGCAATCGCCCACGGATTATTCATCCCACGATTGCAAAAACGGCTATCCCAGCCATCCAAGGTAGAATTTTGGAGCGGGCTCTGATCCACAAAGATCATTTTCCTGAACAGTACCGTTCCAAAAAGTTCAGCATAACTCCACAAGATGGCACATCCGAGACTACCACCAATCGCAAGAAACTTTTTGTCTCCCCGAGTACCCTTTTGGCTGGTAGCCGATGAATCGATAATGTGCTGCGTGAGTTCATGCAAATCCATCGCGAGACGGCTAACATGATATCCATGTTTTGGTTTCTGGCTGGCTCCATGACCTCTCAGATCCGGTACAATAACACGGTATGTTTTGCGCAAGGCAAGTATATTCTTTTGCCAAACGTCTTTGGAACCAGTAAAGCCGTGCAACTGTGTGATTTGTTAGCTAATTACATGGGTAATTACCGGCAAGAGCCCAGACTGTCACTCACAAGAATCAAACACTCCAATCCTTCCTCATTCTGAATATCCGTATCGCTATACGCAATAGCCACACCATCATTCGTTATAAATTCCGACGTCATTTTTACACCTCTCCCTTTCCTTTTCCCTTTCTCTTTTCAATCCCAATCCCAACCCCAATCTCTCTCAAACAAAACCCCAACCCTCAAAGCACTCAGCACTCAACCCACTTCTACAAATCACAACACAACACAACCCAAATTTATCAAAAACACCACACTTCACTTCACTTCACTTCACTTTGATATCTTCTCGTCAAATCAATATGCGTCGTCGATTGAAGTTTTCAAATTCAAGACGAAAACTTGTCGAGGTATCTACGATACACCTAAAAAATATAAAAATATAAATATATATGTAAACCCCACTATCTCGGTTGCATAAGGTTATCGGAGCTTCCCGCTTTCCGCTCTCTGCACGTGCTGGGTTGGCGTTGGTGAAAACGTCACGTGATGAATTGTTGGGAAAGGGAGAAAGGGAGGGAAGCTTGGGAGATTGATAGAGAACTTCTCACATCTACCTACATACCTGAATTGAATGAATGAAAGAATCAATGAATCGTATTAGATTATACACATAGGATAAAACAGCCCAAAGAGCCATAAAACCGTACAAGATTCAAGATTCGAGATCCGAAAGATGCGATGCGATGCCATACGATCGATCCGTCAAAATTCCCATAAAAATACAAACCAAGTCTCAATAAATAAATCACAATCCCCAGATATCACTGCACGAAATGGAATCAAATTCAGATATTAAAATAATGTGTTAGAGGTGTGTATGTATATATTTTAAACTAAAAGCGATGTAAAGCCATCGGAGACTCTCATCTCATCCCAAGTATTTACCCATCCATTCCATTTCATTCCAGTTCATCCTATCCCATCCCATCCTTTTCTGATACCCATAATGCATTATGCATGTAAATTGCCCTTCCCATTTTTTAGATTCCATGATTAACTCCTTCACAAATTTCCTTGCTAGCCATCTATGATGCTCGCGCGTGCGTATGCCGAATGCCCATACCCATTCCAATATTCCTATTTCTTCATAATCCTATATCTACAACGATAATGTAATGCTCGCAATGCTTGGAGATTCAAATATCTATAACAAACTCAAATAATGCATAATATGTGCTCTTTTCGGGCGTTGCTTCTTTTCCTTTCATCTTACTTTAAACACCAGGTGTAAATGGTGTAACTAGATCGATACTTCTAGGTCGATGTCCGTAACCACCTGGACCACTTCGAGGTGGCAAGGGACGATCCATACCCATACCCCCGGTGCTAGTAAATGTTTGACCAGCCCCGAAAGCATACAAGTCTTCTCGGCTTCGACGAGCGGAATAACTGCTGCCGGTGTTGGAGTATGAGTTTCCGGGTGTGGCAAGGGGTGTAGGTGTTGTGGTTTTGGTTGTAAATGGCATGTAGTTCCAGACTTGCGAAGATGTCCTCGAGAGTGTAGTAGTCGGTGGAGATTCTGGCTCCTGGGGTTGATGTGTTCGCGGTAGCGCTGTGGCTAACTCTCTCAAGCTTTCCAAGGCACTCGATGAATGTGTATCGGCCTGGGATGAAGTATAGAAGTGCGACGCTGGGAGGGATGATGAGGGTACGTGGTATGCGACAGAGAAATCGGTTGGATATGGCGATGAGTTGAAGTATGATCGAGGTCTAGATTGTGTAGGAGAGAGTCGTGGTACAATATCTCGAGGTTCTTCCGGGGAGTATACAGTTGCACTTGACAAGAATGGAGTCAATGGTGGAGAGTTTGGTGCAGTTGCATATGGGTTTGATCGAGAAGTGTATGTTGGTGCTTGATCATGAACACGACATCTATTAATCTTGTTAGTGACTTTTTCTATGCAAATTGTGGACATTAGATGATACTCACTGTTCAGAGCAATACAGAAAGGTATTGTTGGGTGGTGTAAATTGCTTTTCGCAAGTCATACTGTAACAAATCGTCAGTCTCGGTTCAGCCACCATTATGCACCCCGCCTTTTCCCAGTCCTAGGCGTCGTCATCATCTGACAATCGAGTTGAACTTACCAGAACTGTGGAAAGCTCTCTCCATTATCTTTCTCCACGTATTGACTTTCTCTCTCCTTACTTCTGGCAGCCTTGGTAATAACTTGCGGTGTAGTCCTTCTGTGTAAAGTTGTAGGTCGACTAGTTCTCTTTTCCGCCACTACCGCAAATTCCTTTCCGGACTTTCTACGTACGTGGTTGGTCTTCTTCTCAGTGTTTTTTTCGGAGCTTGTTCTTGGAGATAGAGCAAGAGAAGGAGCCGTGTGTGTTCGGGTAGCGGATGGTCTTGTTGAGTGTGCCATTTTGGCAGTTGGGAAGATGTATTCTTCCTTTGATATCCTATATGTCTCAAGGATTGTCTCGATATGTCCAGAGAGAAGAAAGCCGTAGAAGATGTTTGATGTAAATTGTTGGTTGTGTGTGAATGTGAAATATATCTTGGTATCTTATATGTCGTAGATAAGTTCTCAGGATGGATTCTTCCCCGGTTGATCTCGGTCTTGTGAATGTTTCTCGTGATGGTGAATTAGAACGGTCCAGGTGAGTAAGATCAAATGGATGAGATCAATGATGATGATGTGATGAAATGATCAGAAACAAAACAAAATCGAATCAAATCAAGGATTGGATTTCTTTTTATTTAATCTCGATTGGCGATTAAAAAGATTCTTGAGATGTGACTCTATGAATGATCTTTTTATTGTAATAGTGGGTTGGACTAGGGAGGTGGGTAGATAGATACTAGATGCCCGATGCTAGACTCTAGGCAATAAATACTAGATGCTAGGCAGATACTACTAGTACTAGGGATCTATTGTGAATCCGTGCTGATAAGAGATTAATATTTCTACCGATATGACTCCCGTAGGAAATTAATTGGCGAAATCGGAAGAGTGGGATGGAAGGGATGGAAAGGATGGAAGTGAGCGAAATGTTGCGATCCGGAAATGGAATTTGGAGCACAGGAAAGTTCGGTCCAATGATAATATGTGTGAGTGCGTTGATATGATTTGTTATGTTGGGCAAGATGAATTGACCAATATCTTCACAATGTGTTTGTTGTGCGGGATAAATGCTGGCGGGGAAAAGGGGATGGATTGATGTGATTTATCAATTCCTTAAGGTTATATTCCGACCAGAAGGTTCAATGTTTGTTCGGGAGCCGGAAAGACGATAGCGAAACATAAAGTGAAAGAGGACTTATGAAATCGAAGACGGAGAGGGAGAGGGGGGTATTGTATATAAGAATTCGAGGGAAAATATAATAATAATAATAATAATAATAATAATAATTGAAGATTATAATTTATTATCGTCAAAAAGATATTGCGTGCTTCGTTCGAATGGTCTCTTTGGCTGGGACGGAGTATCCTCCCCTCCCTCGTAAACGCTGACCACCCAATAGGATTGTTGGTTTGACTAGTGTGAATGGCTTGTGGGCCACCCTGGAAAGGATTATATTGGCTGGTCTGTTGGGAAAACCGAGGGAAGATCTTATCGATTAACTGAAGCGGGAAGTATTCATTGATGGTGGATGATCTATTTGCGGAGGGATTGTACCTCGTACGCTTCGAGTAGTAAGTTTCTAGTAACCTGGAAGTCTTGGATGATCTTTGAGATCTCTTTGTTGAACCTTGGGACGGTGGGAACTGGTCTCGGTAGTCAAAGGAAAAGAAAAAAAAGGAGAAATGTCAAAACTATTGAACGAGGAGAAAAGGAATAATCGGAAGACGAAATTGAAATTATATTACCAGTCTCTTCGTAGGTGTGGTTAAGGTTACACGGGAACTTTGGCATTAGGAGACATTCTTCATCATGGTCATCCATGGTCTAACAATAGTACGGGATGCTATGTACAGTACGGTTTAGGTTACAATATGATATGGTCCCGTCAAGGTATGATTGATATTTGCACATTTGTTGAGATGGCATCGATGGTATGGTCTCGCAATCGGTGATGACTTGAGATGTCTGATGGTAGTAACTGTGTTGGCTTGCTTGATGCGTGATGCTTTGTACTGCTCTAACTTTCCATGCCCTGCTCTGCCCTTTGCATCTCTATCCACAACGCGTACGCACAAACGTTTGGTCTTGAATCCTACTCCCTTTTAGAGTTTTGTAAGGGTACGCTGCCCTCCCTTCTTGACTCCGTAGACAAGTCTGGCTCTCCTTGACCGCTAAAGTGCAATGGAAGGCGTGGACCGTGATTACTCTAGTCTGCCCTTCCGGAGGAACCGCTTAAGGTTGTCAACGTAGAACTGTGGGATTCCGTGATGCCTGTGTTTGAGAATATGTGCGATTTGTACAGTGGATGTAGGTTGATGCTGTAACTTTTCATGCAAATTGTCTTTTTCAACGTTGGAATGATACCATTTCGCTGTTGAATGGTGTGGTATTAGAGATTAGATAAAGGGCATTGTGTATCAAGTACCTAGGTAGGTCGGTCTCTAGATTAGTCTTCGCTTCTATCAAGTATATTTTCAAGTACATTTATTATATTGCATTACATTATCATATCAACTCTTCCCTGAATTGCATCATCAGGGTTTCGTATCTTTTCGTTTCTTTTCTTTAGCACTCTCACTCTCAAAGCCTCAATTCATCCCACAAGATCAATCAACCATCTTGGCATCGTCGGGGTCGTCACTAGCTAGTGAACGTATTCATTTTGATCAGTTCTGGCCTTTTTTGGTTCTTTGGCCCTTTGTAAATCATTACAACACATCACAGCGGAGCTATAATAAGAATCATAGTATCGTATACCCAAATGCACATGCTAAATGCCTGCGACGCTTTTTCACAATTGAATTTTCGCGTTGCTATTTGTGAGTAATTTTTTTCCCACTGTTCCATAAATGTGTCCGTTCACTAAGATCTGACTGGATAATCTTATAGATTTGGAGTCAGATTCTAGAATATCTCGTACCCGCTTTGTGATCCATCAAGACAGTGACCCCCACTTGATGGAACTCTCGGATTTCCTAAATTGAGATCGCGGATTGTCCAAAAGTCCAAGAGTCCAAGACTTCAAGGAGAGATACTCAATCGCTCCACTCAAAATGAAGGGATGGGGGTGATTCCCCACTCCCTCAAGTCCCTTCGCAACACCACGAGTGGTGGTCCATGACAGACAGATCCAACCAAATGCTTTCCATCTGTCGGCCTCGACCGTTTGAACCCTTCCCTTCGAACCGTTTGAACCCTTCCTACCCAACCCTTTCTCGATTTTTTGATACCAATAGAGTCAACGGATCTCTTCCC